AGCTGAAAGAGAAATTGAGAAAGTATTCTGTGTTCCTAGTCTTACCCGAGAAGGAGAGAATAGCAAAGATAGAGTCATTGGAGAATTTGAGCAGGATTGATAAAAAGGCTTTCTTTTATAGACTTAAAAAGTATGATAGACATTATGAAAAATATGAAAATCAACTGAGCCTTAACAAATGCCACAATATTGTTGTGTCTAAACTCTGTACTAGTATTTCTCTGTATAACTCAGACATGTCTGCAAGGCAAGATGTGAAGCCAAGCTCATCTCCTTTGACGTGTACGTCATCAAGCTTGAATTCTGGTGACACTGTTACTTGTAGCTTCTCAGGTTTTAGGGAAACAACAGAACAACAACCAAAACAAAGGAAACCTTCACTAGTTTTGGGGAAGGGAGTATCTGATATATCAGAGAGTAACTCTCCAACCTGCACTGCAACAGTGAAGAGTCGTTTATCTGAAGTGTTTCCGACTAATGGAGTTAGAGTACCCAGCGAGAAGGAAACGCCTTTAGGAGGTTTGAGTGAGGTAAGGAGGGCAGATTCTCCTGAAACTGACAAAAAGGAAGACAAAATGAACCAAGTGCAGAGTTCTTGGGATAATGACGGGACAAATCGAGCAGATGGTGCATCAGTGATTTTCGAGTCTCATCTGCAGCTGGCTTCTCCTTCTGTAACTTCCAGTATACACACAGAGAAAGCTGATGAACCCGTGGAACTTTACTTTCCAACAGTTAATGATTTATTTGATGGCCGTGTGGATAACACCGACATTCTACACCAAGGAGAGATGATCCCAATGATAGGAAATCCAGGGGGGAGCAATAAAAATGAAGTAAAAAGTGGAGAAATGCAGAGAAATGGAAATGCCCCCATAACTGAAGATGATGTAGTTTGTGTGTGTCATTCAGAGGAAGTAGAGACATCTACCCTATCAAGTAAACATACAGCTCACACTTATGGTGAGTCACAGAGCTGTGATTCTTTGCTGCACACGCTAGCAGCACGGATTGAATGGCAACAGTTTTTTGAAAAATCAAATGTCAGCGAGTTGAAAACCATCCTTGAGCTATCAAGAGCCACAAAACCTGTGGCGTTCGATCAGCAAATTTCACCTCCAGCAGAAACTGCTGCAACTGATGTAAAACTTCTGCATGGCTCAGATTTTCTCCTTTCCACAGATGGTGAAGGTAAATATGACCCCAGGAGTCCAAGATTGACTGATGAAAAATTGTCTGCCCCAGACAATCGAGATGCGATTCCTGATCTGCAAATAACTTTAAATGATCTTAGCTCAGAGTATGATCGCTATCTTCAGCATCCTGTGCCATGTGTTGGAACAGAGAGATGTTGGGATCAACCTTGTGTAGATGTGAGAGCCTTTATAGAAACAAAGGCAGATAAATGCTTGGAAATATCCAGTAAAGAATATGAAGTGGCTTTGGATGGAGGAACCAGTAAAGCCACGTCAAAGACAGAGACTCCTGGACTGAAAGATGCATTACTGATGAACAATCAGATTCTACCCAAATTGGTTAGAAAGTCAAAAGAACATGATGTATGTGGATTGAAGATGTCTAAAAATTATTTGGATCATAGATTGAACAATGATTTATCATACTGCTCAGATCCAGAGCTTTTCAAGAACTGTAAGCAAAACAGTATTTATTCATCAGACTTATATGTTGTGGGACCACAGAATAAGCTGTCTGAGAGTTGTGAAGACAATAATATTCCTCAAAGTCCAAATGACCATAGTTGCAGAATGACAATACAGGATGTTGAACATTTGGCTGCAGGAAATGTGAAACCTAATGTCAAAAATATAGTGCCTGATAGTGCTGGTGAGAACTTCGTAAAGGGGAATTTGTCTGAGAAAACCCTAGAACGTGTGAATAAGTCGCATGACACTGTAACTGGGGATGCTCGCATAGAGGACGAGGGGAATGACACAGTATTGTTAGATTCAAACTCCAGTGCGTCAAATGAGAGCTTGTGTTATACTGTGCAGCGAGAAGAGAGAAAAGATTTCTCCACAACACTGAGGCTGCAGGTTGAGGATGTAAAATGCCCAAAATGTGATTCTATGAATCAACTTCCCAAAGAAAGAAATGTGTTAACAGGAGAATCTAACATTACTTCAGATTATGATTTTTCCTTGACTCTCGAGCGTGGGGATAATGAACCTCATATCAATGATGTTATTGCAACTGGGAAGAGTGGGACTGTTTACAGAGACATTCCATTCCGCAGTTCTATAGAACAAAATAGTGAGCCAAAACTTAATGATACTTCAAGTGAAAATTTGTTTTCTTTCAAACCTATTGAGCAGACTGACTCAGTTCCGAAGAAGGTTGGTAAGGTTAGCGTTGAACCAAAGGAGACTTTATTTCCTGCTCTAAAGTTTAAAGCACCAGACAAATACAGACATCAAAACAATAAACCCTTGAATTTGGTTCATTCTAGGTCACCTTCATTGAATCTCCCACATGTGGAAATACATTCAACACAAGATATTAAAAAGAAATCGCTAAAGAGCAAGCAGTCCACTGATGATTTTATTTCCCTGTACGAAGGGCGAAGCCGAGCTTTTAACACTTCTAAAAAGCAAATTACACAACTGACAAGTGTTCTGTCGACAGAAGCTTCGTTAAGCAAAAGCAGGAGATTGTATAAACTACTCACAAAAGCAGTTATACACTTAAACAAAGCTTGTAAGAAGGTCTGTGAGTCTTCGGAAATTGTAACAAAAACTGGCATAACACGGAACCAGATTTCATTGCCAAAATCATATCAGAGTAACTGCAATTCTTTTTGGGAAACCTGTGACATGAACAGTCATCAATTTCTTAAAAGACAGAGATGTGTGTCCAATCCCAAATGGTACCCAAATTACAGTCAAAGTAACGATCCAAAACAAGTGAAGGGGTTAGCAGTTTCAACAGAGAAGGGTAAGCGACTGTTGAAAAATGCACAAAGTGCATGTTTCAAAAGTAAAAATGATCCATGCTCAACTAAAAATAATGATATGTCTAGAAAAACAGTTGGTGTAGAATTGACCTATGTGGGGAACAAACCAGCAATGTCTACAAATTCAGAAAAGTTGCGACGTACTGTGAAACATCAAAGAAATCATCCCAAATTCAAGATGCGGGAAAATGGCAGACAAATCATGCCTTCAAATCCAGGTCTTGTCCAAGAACCCAAGTCTTGTGAAGCAACTTTCACAATTAATGGATTTAATCAAAGTGAATTGAACCTCCTGAAATTTCTGACTAAGTCTACATTACTTGAATCTCAAGTTGAATGCCATTTGACAAAACCTGAAATAATGGGTCCCAAAGTCGGATCCACAATACTTGATTTTCCATCAAAATCCACGTTTATGGAATCCCTAATACGAATGCAGATTTATTCCCAAGAAGATAAATTGTGTGCTGAAAAAGGCACAAATGCAAAAGCTATATTGGATTTGAAGAAAATGCAATTTCCCATTGAAACTTGCATGCTGAAATCCCAATGTGAAGTCAAAGCAGCAAAGGTACCAGTTGAATTCAAAATAGTGCAGTGTAATAGTGATCACACAGACTTGAAATCTGTTGACTTTCAACATGCAGATCTCTCTGTTAAATCACGGACCACTGAGCCTCTCGCTGACTCTCTCATTAAATCAAATTCAGTGAAAGACGCAGTTGGTTCTTGTTCTGTAAAATCCCAAACAGCAGAATGTAAGTTGAGCCCAGTGGAGAACTTGTGTATCGAAATAAACACAAAAGTCAAAAAGCCATCTCTTTGTCACAAATTAGAATCATCGTCCATTGAGTCAGTTGCAGTAGGATTTGTGGATTTATGCCAAAAAGTGAAAACACATATTGGTTCTCAATCAGTGAAATCTCAGCTTGAATATCAGGTTTTGCAATCTCATCTTCATTTCAAGGCAGCAGATTTGCAAGCTGAATCTCAAAATTTTCAATCTCAGTGTGAATTAAACACAACAGAATTACCAGTTGTCAAATCTCAGATTGAATTCCAAAGAACAAACTGCAAAAGCAATCCAAAGGATAATACAGGAGCTTTTATGCCATCTCAAACAGAAGAGGTTCTTATAGATTCCCAGAAAATGCAAATGAAAATTTCCAATTTCCACGAAAAAGAAACCTATACTGAACCTAGGAGTGTCCTTTTCAATGAGAAACCTTTTCAAAGGAAACCCCAAGATCCAAAGTTGAGAAGTGAGTCAATGACACAAGAATATGACAAAATGCAAAGGGAGGAGGGGAAGATTATTTCAGACAATCAAACTGAATCTGAGTATTTAAGAGCCAGAAACACCTTTGTGGAAAGAAAAGCTGGTCAAAATAACTTGAAGCAGGGGGACACTAAAACAACTAGTGGTAACAAATTTCCATCAAAACCTATGAAAGAAAGGCAACTCCATGTGTCTCTTGTAGTTCAGGCATCTGAGATTTTGCGTGAAGCTGACACATCCCCATTGCTGGACAAGTTAGAAGAGCTGAAACTGACTTGTGAGAAAATGCTTCCTGTGTTTATTTCAGCTTTTGAACGGTCTCAGGGCGAGTCCTTCACAGAGGTTTTTATTTCCAGAGATCTGCTGCTTCAGAATAACCTGCAGAATCCCACTCACATTGTGCACTTAAAATCCAATGCACTAGATTCATTTGTAGAACTTCAGATAATGATGGAGACTGTGCAGTTCTTAGAGAACAAGATTAGCTTTTTAAAGGGCCTACCAACATTTCGGAGTCTGCTGTGGTATGATGAAATACTATACAGTGAGTTATTGGTGGGAAAGAGAGGCAGCCAGCAACAATCTTCATTCTATCCTTCTTTCCAAGAAAGAGTTCAGAGTAAGTGTTTAGATACAGTACATGACTACCGTGCTCAGGTACTGAAATCTTTCCAAATGGAGATGAAAGGACAAAATGCTTACTATGTATACCTTAAACACAGAAGAGAGCTGGAAGAAAGCTCAGCAGTAATGCAACATATTGCAGACTGTTGTAATTTTTGGCTTTCTATTCCACTGACAACTGGTATTCACTTTGGAGGTAATGTGGAGGCTTTAGAAACGCTTCGAAAGGATGTTTGGACACTGGTAAACAAATACACCAGTTTACCTGAAGAGCAACGTGATGTGGGTAAACTGGTACATTTATGGATTATTATTGACATTGTAAATGCAAAGATTCGCACAATTCACGGCTGTTTGCTAACAAACAATAAACTATTATGGTTTGGAATGGAACACATTCAGTTTAATGCTGCTAAAATGCTTGTGTGGCAGAAAAAGAGGAAGATGTTTGACACATCAAATAGTGGTGTATCCGAATTAAGAAGTATTGACCAGAGAAGCAAGTTGAAGGAATTAATTGTGGAATTAAACAGGGATGCCATGTGCATGTTGTACACCTTGACTGCTGCTTCCATTGGCAATGCCTTGCAGAAAGGTCCATCTCATGGTAACAAGTTCCTTGATGCTAACACCTCAGTCAAATTACCAAATGGTGACTTAACGGAGCAGCAAATACCTAAGAGTTTGGAGGGTGACCTCGATCAGACATCCAAACCTTTTACTTCTGTTGGGATAATACTAGAGCGCTCTCGGGCTGCACGTCAGGAAGAATTGGAGCAGCTCCTGCAAATATGTGAGAGGCAGTCGGAGTCATTGAAGAGATGCTTTCAGGTTCTACAGCATGTTGATGTTGAGAAGGTTTTGGTGACAGAAGCTATCATTTTAGACCTGTGTGCCTCCCACAACGCAAGCCCTGTCCTCTTAAATCTTGAAGCTGTTGAGATCTACATTGAGCTGATTATGATGTACGAGACAATTCACTACCTGAGAAATTTGATTGCGCAGCAGTTGAACCATCCAACATACAGGGGGATGCTGTGGTTTGACTCGACCCTCTTTCCTGAATTGCTTCAAAGCCAGCAAGATATCTCCATTTTTTCACTCTTCCGTAAGAAATGCTTGAACAATTCTTGCGCAATGTTGGAGCATGCAATCTCTACACTGCAACAAAAACTGGATTTAATCCTTGAGTATAGGCAAAGCGCAAACTACACATATGCAGTCCAGCTTCTATTAAGAGAATGCTCAGAGCTAATTGCAATAAGGACATACATGAAAAGGCACAAACTTTGTGTAAAGATGTACGTGAATGCTCCACCTTATGCAGCCTCAATAAACTACGGCTGCACTGAATCCGAACTAACTCACAACTATAGACAGTTTGGAATGGTTCTAGAGAAGCTGGTCAAGGCTCCCGAGAAAGATTTGGGGAAAATGGCACACGTTATAGAGGTGATGAAAAGCATTATGAATATGAAACAGGTGCTGCTGAAGATAGTGCCTCAGTCATTCATCTTCTCACATACCAATTGCAACAGAACAGTAAGAAAAGGCAGCTGTTGGCAAATGCTGAGAATTTGCAGGGTTGTTTACTTAAAGTTGAAAATGACATTGATTGTGGTAGGAAGGAGCATCTAAGTTTGCCTTCAGACATGACGCACGTCTCTCGAACTTCCAAGGGACCAGATTTACAATTGTGTGTCACAAGGAAAAGACAGTTTTGTGAAGTTCCACCTGGATTTCATCAAAGAAAACATGAAGTTGATGTCCCACCCATGCCCAAAAGGAGAATGGTAAGATTGTTTAACATGTTACACTTTGGGAAGAGACTCAAATAAACTGTAAAATGAAATGTTATAATAGAGTACGATGGTAAAACTACTATGCTACCCAGTTGTACGTTATGCCCAAGTTATATTCTCTTTTTATATCAGATTTTTGGAGCTCTCACTCCCTTCTCTCCCTTCAAAACGTATCTATAAACCTCTCTTCAACTGCACATTTACCCATCTCCCTTTCCTCCCTCCCAGCTCAGTATCTGTGAAGCGCTTTGGGACATCCTCTGATGTCAAAGGCACAATATAAATGGAATTTTTTCTTGATGTCTCACCTTGTTGAGGACACTGATTAGTTTTATACACCTTTAATACACATTTTGTTTTAAACAAAGCACAGGTGTCTTAGCATTTAACTACCAATGAGGGTTGTGTTTTTTAACCTCACACAATTTTATGTAACTGGATATTGCCATTTAAACTGCAGTATTACAATTTGACTTTCATTTGTATTGTTTATGTAAATCTTGAATCACTGCTATTTCAATCAATAGCAACAACTTGCATTTATATAGTGCCCACCACACCGGACGGCGTCTCAGAGCGCTTAATCAATCAGAGAGCTACAATCAGCTCTTGTAACTGAAGTTATGATAACCTGTAACTCAATCTGTACTTGAACACAATGCATCAAATGTTAGGATTGTTATTATTTTAATGATATCAAATTAAATATTTATTAACTTTAGGTACCGTCCCAACTGCCAACTCCAACTACCATTCCATTTCAAACCTTCCTTTTCTTTCCAATGTCCTGGTCACTTCCCAGCTTCGCTCTTTCCTCTCCCAGCATTCCCTCCATGAACCCCTCCAATCTGGGTTTCATACTGCTCACGGCACAGAGACAGCCCTGGTCAAGGTGACAAATGACATTCTGTCCACCTGCGACCAGGGCTATCTCTCTGTCTCCTCATCCTTCTCGACCTCTCGGCCGCTTTTGATAGCGTCGACCACTCTATTCTTCTCCACCACCTTTGCTCTCACCTCCACCCCAATGCTTCTGTCCTTGCCTGGTTCCAATCCTACCTTTCCCACCATCTGCACTTTGTGTCCACCAATAGCTTCTACTCAAGCCCCCACATTGTCACGTGTGGCGTCCATCAGGGGTTTGTCCTCGGTCCCCTCCTCTTCAATCTATATATACTCCTGCTCTGATGTTATCCGCAGGCATGGAAGACCCGTCTAAAGACCTTCCTCCTTGATGGCTGTTTGTGGGATATTGCTGTACGCAAACTGGCTGCTATATTCACCTGGAAAATATAGCCTCTACACATTACAGTAAATCCTATGAAGCACTTTGACACATCCTTCTGATGTGAAAGGCACTTTTGTCAAAAGCAAGGATTATTTTTAAAATAATGACAATATTAAATATTTACTAACTTTAATTCTGACTTATAGTGCAAAGACCTCCCTTTGCAGGATGAGGAGATCAAAGTTGGAGACAACATAGAAATGTAAGTCCTGCAATTCTCTGAACTGGTTTCTGGATGTCTTACAGGGTTTTAACAAAGGTTTAAAAGTCTGCAAAATAAACCAATACTAGATCCAGTTTGTAGTGATTTAAGTGACATGAACAAGCTACCTGGAGTGAGAAGCATTGTATGTGTATGAGGAGTGATGATTTTGTTCCAGTGATTAATTTTTGATGGTACAATATAGCGTCTTCATTTGGTAACCAACCATAAGCACACCTAGGACAAAGCATGGATGCTGCCACTGGCGTAGCAAACAATTTTAATGTTATATCTGGTGCTCAAGTGGCAGATCATTTTGGGAACAGTTACTCCAGCAATCAGTGTAACATCCATGCCTTTATTATATTTCTGTTCTGATGGATTTTCAGTGCACAAAGCTACAAGTACCTTTAGGTCTGCTATCTTTTACATGTGGATAAAAATCTGCTGACCAGTAAAAAGCTAGACCAAGAAAAAGCCGAACCATTTGGTTAACAAAGGATAACAAAGCATATTTTACTTAACAGAGGGATTCCAAATGACCTGTAAATTGTGCATCTACAAAAATTCACTTTGCTACCACACAGGTTTCTGCTATAGGTAGGATTTGATTGTAGGACGAAAGATGATAAATTGCTCTATTGGATGTGTGAGATACAGGGGTAAGATTGGGTATCTGAGACAGTGATTACCTCTACCGCTTTCACCAGGTTTTCCATTTGCCTTTTTTAAAAACAAACCTGCATTGCTTCAATAAATCCAGGTGGACCCAATCCTTGAAAACACTAACAGAACTTAAGATGGAAGAATTTTCTTAAAGTGTAATCTTGACAGGCAAAGCCTTGGTTGAATACAGTGGTTACAAGCTTATTCATCTCAATGAAGGGAGGGGAGATTTCCAGTGTGGGGAAGGGCTTAAATGTAATTTGTTGTTATTGTTGTTATTGATTGAAGAAAAGCATGGAGGAGCATTGTGCCTTTCACTTTTCAGTCTCCACCTGAAAATTCAGAGAGCTTTTATTCCTCAGGGCAATTAGACAGGAAGGTTTGCAATCGAGAGAAGATGGAGGCAAGAGGTGAAGAAATTGCCATGCATCAGATGATAAATCTTTTCTTTTATCTACGCCAGGGATGCCAGAGAGATGCTTGTAAGAACCTTTCCAGATATGGGAGTAGTATTTTTTCATGAACTTGGATTTAATAGAAATTGTAAGAATTGTTGAAAGGAAACAAAAGAATCAGTGAGAATTCCATTGAGAAGATAGTGAGGTCTATTTTACTCTGATCACTAAATGTAGTAATCCGTTCATTCACAATGAGTTTATGATGCAAAATGATTTTTAGCTATCGGTTAAATAGGGGCCAGATTGCTGATAAATAAAGAAATAAGTGGTGTGAAAGATGATCTGTGGATTTGACCTGTGAAAGTCTAGAAGAAACTGTTTGAGTAATGCAACAGAGTGGATATAGCTTTGTTGTTTACTTCTGGAATTCCCATTGCACTCTGGAAATCTTGTCTGTTTTTCTTTATTTTAGTCCGTATTTCTCCCCCCACTTCCCAAAAACAAACTTGTAGACCCAAAGCGTATTGGTTAGCATGCTCACCTCACAAGCGAGAGAACCCAGGTTTATTTCCCAGGTGGTGTGAAACTTTAGGCAAGTTTTCTTTCTCCACACTTGCTTAGCGGTAAGTAGGAACACGATTGTAAGTCGATTGGCAGATCACTTTCCAGGGATAGTAATGCCTTAAAAACAATTCGGTCACTCAATCCACAACTGTTTCTGGGACACTGTTGTGAACAATTGGCTGCCGTGATTCACCCACAAAATACAGTCAATCCAGTTTACAATATATTCTGTGAAGCACGTTGAAACATCTCAACGATGTGATAAGGTGCTATATCAAATGCAAAGACTATTATTATTAACTTACATACAATCAAATTAATTTGAACCTTGAGACATTTTGGCATAGGATCATTCTGATCACAATATCACTATGGATACCTGAGCACTGTTATTTATAATTTACTGTATGTATTGATTTGCAGAAAATTGTCATCCAAAAATATACAAAACCGTAAAGAGTTACAATCAACATCCCAAAGTATGGAGCCAATGGCTTTAACAACTCCTAAATCCTGTGTAAATACCAGATACTTGACGCATAAAATATCAAGATTTTCTTCCAGTGAAGTCCAGAGAAACAGCGACATTCCTTTGACTCCACAAATTCCTGCTCTTCCGAAATATACTTCAGAAGAATCTACAGTTTCACCTTTAATTTCTGACTCTCCAAAAATTGCTTGTGCTAATATGCGAACACACTCTTGTTCAGGATCTCAATTGACTCATTTTCTTACTGTAACTCACAATTGCCAAAGTAAACAGATCATTTACCCCATAAAACACAAGTCGCCATCACTACGATCATGTAATCCCTCTCAAAGCGTTTTATATGAGGAGACTGCTTTTGACTCTTTTGAAAGTAAAGGCCAAACCATTGATACCTATGGCAGAATTAGAAAACAGCAACTTGAGTTACCTCAGGGTGCAGAAAATAATCTGACTGAGCAGAAGATGAAGAGAAACAACAGCAGTTGTAGGCAACATCAAAAAATCCATAATCCATGTGAAATTCTTAGTTCACATCTGATTGATACACCAATAAAAAGTAATATTTTTCCTGTACAGCCTAGTTTAAGTTCCCAGGCACACACATCATTTGACAGTCCTCTTTGTGAACAATTTGATGTAAGTATTCACAGTTCTACTGTCAGAAGTGCAGATAATCCACAAAATCTGCATTTGCAACCAACAATACATGAAAGTTCAATCTTTCCAATACTGCACTCTGGCACCTCTTCCCCAGACGGTATCATTTCATCTGAAATAACAAGTATAGGTTCTGCTCCGACTGCTTCCTCCACAAGTAAAGAACATGAATGTGCTGATGTATCAAAGAATCCACTGTTGCAGTCTAAAACTCAAGTTACAAGAGATTCTTCCAAAATTGCATCAAATATTGAACAACTTAGTTCTGTATCGTTACAAACTACGAACAAACCCGCTATCACTGATGGAATGATGCGGCCACATTCTCCAATCCAGGTACAAATGTTACATTTAACTCTAAGTATAACCTATCTGCATTCCTGTTTCTCTTCTGGTCATCATACTCACAAAAGCTTCTTACTGTTCTATGGTTTCCTCTGAAATTAGTTGTCACTTCTGTTCAAATATTTTTTTCAGGCATAATACTCCCTTTAAAATAAATAAATAAATAATAATTTGGTCACTCAATCCACAACTGTTTGTGGGACACTGCTGTGCGCAATTGGTTGCCACACGCTTTGAGATGTCTCGAAGACGTAATAAGGCGCTATATTAAATGCAAGGATTATCACACCTCCACCTCCTTGCCCCTCTACTCACTGACATCATAAACCTCTCCCTGTTCTCTGGTACTGTCCCCATCCCATTAAAAATCACCGTCATCACTCCTATCCTTAAAAAACCCTCCTTGACCCTTCTACTCCCAAACTACTGCCCCATCTCCAACCTCTATTTCTTTTCCAAGGTCCTGGAATGAGTTGTTGCTTCTCAGGTTTGCTCCTTCCTCTCCCGCCACTCCCTTCATGAACCCCTCCAATCGGGTTTCCGTGCCGCCCACAGTACAGAAACAGCCCTGGTCAAAGTGACAAATGACATTCTGTCCATCTGCGACCAGGGCTGCCTCTCCTCCTTGCCCTCCTTGACCTCTCTGCTGCTTTTGACACCGTCGACTGCTTTATCATCATCCACCACCTCTCCTCTCACCTCCACCTTCACAGCTCTGTCCTTGACTGGTTCAGATCATACCTCTCGCACCACCTGCACTTCATCTCCACAAATGGCTTCTCCTCCAGCCCCCGCATTATTTCATGTTCCTCAGGGCTCTGTCCTTGGTCCCCTCCTCTTCAATATCTGTATGCTCTCTCTTGGTGACATCATCCGCAGACATGGGGTCAACTTCCACATGTATGCGGATGACACCCAACTCTACCTCTCTGCCTCCACCCTTGACTCCAGGACCACTGCTGTCCTGACAGAATGTCTGTCGGACATCAAGTCCTGGATGAGAGTTAACTTCCTTCAGTTGACCGTCACCAAGACCGAGGCTCTCCTGATTGTCTCCCGTCAGCGCCTCCTCACCTCAGATGCTGACAGCATCACCATCCATGGTTGCACACTCCACCTTGCTAAGCCGGTCCGGAACCTTGGGGACTTGTTTGACCGTCAACTATCCTTTCTACCCTACATCTGCGCCATGACCCGCTCTGCCTTCCCCACCTCCGCTACGTCGCCCGGCTCCGTCACTGTCTCACACCACAGGCCGCAAAAACCCTCATACATGCTTTCATTACATCGAGGCTCGATTATGTAAACTCACTGCTTGTTGACCTCCTCAAGTCCTCCCTTCATAGGCTGCATATCATCCAGAACTCTGCAGCCTGTGACCGCTCCCCGACCCTATCACCCCCATCTTTGCCCAACTCCATTGGCTTCCCATCACACAGAGGATACAGATCAAGATCCTGGTCCTAACCTTCAAAGCCCTCCATCGTGCTCCCCCCAATCTCTCCGACCTCCTAACCCCCTACCATCCAGCTCGCTCCCTCCGCTCAGCGGGCTTAGGTCTGCTTCACGTCCCCTGCCTTGCTCACCCCACTATTCTGCCACTCTGCCCCCACCCTCTGGAACTCCATCCTGCAGTCCCAATGCCTCAGCCACTCCCTTGCCTCCTTCAAAACCCTCTTTTTCGACTGTGCTTTCGATCTCCCTGCTTCCCCCCCCTGCCCTCCCCGACCCCAACCCCCCAGCTCGGGTCTGTAACTCTTTCTATCCAGCGCCTTCGGACGTCCCCCCGACGTGAAGGGCACTTTACAAATGTAGTTTTGTTATATTATTATTTAACTTCTTCAGGTAATAAATAGTATGTGCTTTCTGTGCTTTATTGACTTATGTCACCTGTATTTGGTTCAGATACGCATTCCTGTACAATTTATTGGATTTGGAACCAACTCACATTTGACGAGTCATTCCCTTATCAAACCTTCGTTCCGGACACAGAAAAAAAGCAGATGGGGTAAGCTTATGAATAGTTAAAGGATGTTAGGTGTGTCTTGAAAGATTTTATGTCATATTGGAAATAATGGATTAGCTATCCTATTTCACTATTGAAAAAGACAATTGTTTTGAATAAGCAAGTGGACTTGTACATAGAAGTGGAATTAATTAGGTATTCCATTTATCCTTGGTGTATTATTATGTATATTTGAGGATGTTTTGTTTATGTTAAGTAACCCTATAACATCAGTTATAGATTATTATATGAATGGAAGACACTTTATGTTTTCTTGTAGCTGATCTTATTAAAGGAGCAAAGCATTATGATTTTAAATTTTTTTTTACATTTATTATGCATTTTATGTTGAGAGGACAACAAAGACGAGGTTGGGATCTGAAATGCACTGCATTTGCAATGGGCGAGGCAGGATAATAATAATAATCTTTGCATTTGTTAGAAGGCTGCGAGTTCAAGCCCTTTCTCAACACTTTGAATTCATTGTCCAGGCTGATACTCAGTGCAGTGCTGGGAGTGCGCTGCATTATTTGAAGACCCAAAGCACTATTTGGAAAAGAAAAGGAAGTCTCTCTTCCTGTCCGCACCAACACTCCCACCCCGCTCCCCTCTCCCCGATAAAATTTGCCATTCACTTCATGGCTGTTTGTAGGACACAGCTGTACACAAATTGACTGCTGTGTTCACCTACAAAATACATAGTCACTATATTTTGCAGTGAAGACTGTGAAGGCTTTTGAGACGAGCTCTTGACTTGAAAGGTCTATATCAAATGTAAGGATTAATATTGATAGTATTAATATTATTACCAACTTGAGCCAAGCTGGTGTGAGACTTCAAATTGAAAGGGAAGGGAGGGAAATTTCATTGTGGTGTCATGATCTGTAGTGCACAATATGTACTGGATCTGATCAGAAAAAAAAGCACTGTTAACTTTGTTTATTATTTTGCAGATTGCTGCCAATAAACTGAAGCATTTTCCTGAAGAAAATTAGATTTTTACCAACACGGTGTGAACACTATTTTGTACACATTTTATTTTTCAGCAAAAAAGTGTTAAGTTTTGTATGGAAACCTTATTTATAGGAATTTTTTGACCGCTTGCAGTAAATGTGCCTGTAATTTGACACGCGTTCATTTTACATTTATGTGCACCGTCTCCACATTTATGTAGCAACTTTCATAACTGTTGAGTCCCAGTAATGATCACTTAAATTGTTAGTACAAAGACAGTACATTTAAAGGAACAGTAGAATATTTAAAATGATTGGCATTTCCATGGGACAAAGGTAGTCAGTACAAAATGTTAATAAATATTGTACCCTGTCCCTAGGATAGACATTAAAAAGGATTTATTCCCAATCTGCTCCAAATAGCAAAACTATTGCAGTATTTTTTTCCTTCATTTTCTTTCTGTAACTTGTTTTCCATATTACAAAATAGTTTATCATTTGTTTTTTTCTGATACTATTGTATTTATATCCAAGGTTTCTTCAGTTTGTTTTGTCATTTTCTTATTTCATTTATCCTTTATGACGTATAAGCTCATAGTATAAAAGCTGAAAGGGATTTTCCCAATGATTGTAAAGGAGCTGTAGGCTGGAGACCTATATGATTTATGTGACAGATATTCTATTTGGTTATTGTACAATAAGAAAATATAGTGTTCCCCTTTTTTGTAATGCCTTATATTTAGTGTTCAATTTAGTTTAATTTGTAATAGGAATCCTTAATAAGGAAAATGAGTGAATCTCCTCCCAATAACTGGAATTACATCAAACTAACTCACTAGAAGTCTGCACTCTAAGTAGATTGGTTCTGAGTTACTGTTCTGCGAATTGGCAGGTCATTGGTTTCCAAATTAAGGAATCTTATAAATTACTGTATATTAGACTTATAGTGACTCTACATTTGCAAATATAAAATGTACAGATTGCAGTAGGTAAAATTTGGATTAATGATCTGACATTATCAGGGCAAAATAAATGCCTGCTGAAAAATATAATAACTTAAAATATTAACAGTAAGTTTTAACTGTGATACAATGTACAGGGAAAAATAAACAAATTGCTCCATTGTTTTTCTTAGGTGAGAAGGTTTCAATGAGAAGGTGATTATTCTGTCCTTTTTTTTCAACAACAGCATGGTACTTCAAATAGTTATAATACAGTAAGCATGCCAAACTTTGGAAAACAGCCGGAAGCAATCTTTTGGAGCACTAAAGTCTGTATATTTTGCTTCATAGAATTTACATTTTATATGTTTAAAAAAATTAACATCTTAATTGAATTTTAAGTGCTAAAAATTATACAAAATTGGTTAACATTTAATTAGTTTAGGGACTGAAAAACAATTAAAATGGGACAGATTTCTTCTTCCCTGCTCTCCCCCCCCCACACACACACAAACGCACACACATTACTGTATCTTTCTTTCTCCCACCACCCCATACCCTAATCTAAGTCATTGGGGGAGAATTCTGTCCATGGTTCTGAATACTGCGGATGCTATTAGGATCTCAGATCATGGCTCTGTTCAAAATTTGAACTGAAGAAGAAAATTTGAATCTTGTGTTATATTTAGACATGGTGCAAAAGTGCACCTCAGTTCTGAAATTCTTAAAAACTTTGTTTTCAGTTGAATTTTGGATTCATGTACATTTAATATTTATATATTCAATTTGTTAATACCTAGTATTGTATCTAAGCATTTTGTCAAAAGAAAACTTTGAAATGTAATTTACGGCTGTAATGGTAGAGTTTAATGTGAATACACTGTTTGTAACAATTTGTAATTTCAAGAGTTCACAATTTTTTCAGGTTTTGTTTGCGGTATAAATGTGAAGATATGAAAGCGATGCCCAGTTTCTCTTGTCACTTTTTTGATCGATCATACATACTTACATTACTTACATTTATGTACATCCTTGAAGCAGTAAGTATTATGTTTGTGTGTACTTTGCAAGAATTTTGCATTTGGTGGAAAAATACACATTAGATATTGTTAATGTCTGCCTTTTTGTGTTTTATTAAAAATAAGCAAAAACGTTCAAACATTCACTATTGTTTCACCCACAACATATTGTCAATTCACTTTATAGCATATTCTGTGAAGTGCTTTGAGATGTCTCAAAGACATCGCCTCTAGCCTTGACCTTGGTGTAATTTGAATGGTTGGACAAGTTTCTTTACTCCACACATCTCTGTTCACCTAGCAGTAAGTAGGAATCTGGTTGTTCGTCAATTGGCAGATTGCTTTCCAGGGGTAATAATCTCTTCAAAAAAAATACTAATAATAATTTGGTCACTCAATCCACAACTGTTTGTGGGACACTGATGTGCGCAATTGGCTGCCACTTCGTCTACAACAGTACAGTCAATTCACTTTACAGTATATTCTGTGAAGAGCTTTAAAATCTCAGACGTAATAAGCGCTATATCAAATGTAAGAATTCTTGTATATAAATTCCCCAGTTCTTTGTTCCTAGTCCAGCATGGAAGCAAGTGAGTCTATTTTGTCATTCTTGAGCAACTTCCACTTTTGGCCAGCATCTAATGTACAGCTGTTGATAAAAGAACGGTGTCCCTCTCAATATAGGTTCATGAGGGTTGCTGAGTTTGAAAGAACTTGTATTTTTATATTGCCTTATTTGTTTGAAATGTTTTACACATAATATGCAGGTACTGTTTTTGTTGGCAATCAGGTTAAAATAATAGGCGGCGAATAATAAGAATAATCCTTGTATTTGATATAGTCCTTTTCATTTCTTCTGAACATCTCAAAGCACTTCAGTGTAAAGTGATTGACTATATTTTGTGGGCGAAACACAGCATCCAATTGCGCACAGCAGTGTCCCACAAACAGTCGTGGATTGAGTGACCAAATTTATTGGGTTTTCTTCTTGAGGGATTATAATAATAATAATCCTTGCATTTAATATAACGTTTTTCACGTCGGGAGGACGTCCCAAAGCGCTTCACAGAACACACTGTAAAGTGAATTGACTATATTTGTGGCCGAACGCGGCAGCCAATTGCGCACAGCAATGTCCCACAAACAGTCGTAGATTGAAAATGACCAATTTATTATTGTTTTGGGTTTTGGAGGGATTATTATTAGGCTGTGTGGAGTAAGGAAACTTGCCCAAGGTTTCGCCTTCCTGGGAATCGAACCCAGGTCTCTCGCTTGCTCTCTCGAGTGCTCTAACCACTGAGCTACAGGACTCCTACATAGATCACCTACAAAATAACAATCACTGCATTTTACAATCAATCCTGTGAAGCACTTTGAGACGTTCTCCTGATTTGTAAAACACTACACCAAATGTATTTTATCTTTGTAGAACAGGAGGCTGCCACGTAGCTGATCAGCCTGTGAAGGAGCCATCCTTTTAGTCTCTTTCCCACTTTACAGGCATATTTAATGTATTCTGGGTACACCAGATGAATATTGATGCGTAGGCTTTTCCTATTAAGTCTGAAAACATGAAGGAAATAATTGAAGCTGGGTGGTAATGATGGAACAATAAGCTCAGCAGAGGTGCAATTTTAGCTTTCAGTACCAAGAACAAATTGCATTTACACAGAGCCTTTCTTGACGGGATTACGCCCCAATGCGCTGGTTTCAGCTGATAGCAATGAAACATAAGAGGTTGCTCTTATTGTTTTCATCCACAATACCAGAACATGTACTCTTCCTTACAATGTGGTCTGCGTACTTGCATTTCATATGCACCTGTCTGAACCACTTTTGATCCAGATAAGTGCAGTGAACCAACTCTGGCTGCTGCAGTTCAAAGTCTCCCATGAGCAGTAATGAATCCTAGGAACAGGAACACTTCACTNGGGGGCGATATAAATAAAACACAGTTTAGAGAGGCCCAGTGACCTTCATTTTGAGGGCTGTGGCTTTAGCATGCAACTGAAATATTAGAAAGCATTTGTCAAAATTAAAATACTGCAATACAAACAAAAATCTTCCTGCAAAAGAGAGCCTCACACCAAACTAATCTTTCACGGTTCATATCATAAAACAGGGCCTGGAGAGACTCCATTACTTTACTATTTCACTGAAGGGGAGAGACTGTGTGCCTGAAGAAATTTTGATTGAACTGTTCCACATATTATTATCTGCTTCCCAGCCAACTCCCCTATTTGGCTTTTACAGATTTAGACAACTCAATGTCACAATTTCTCCGTGAAGATAAGTGACGTTGAGTTTACAGATATCAAATTAACCTATGGTTAGATTTAACAATATTAAACTGGTGAAGCAAAGAAGCTGAAAGCTCAAAACGTTTGCTGTTATCAGGCTGTTCAGTTACAGGTATTGTTCTGGTGAGCACAGTTGCAGATTACTGTTCCTGGATAATTTAACATCACAAGTTGCATTCTTTCCCCATCTCTAAAAGAAAACTGAGTATCTCCTTGAGGTTTGTATGTATTACTTCATGAAGATTACATAGTAATTATAAGCACAGGAAAAAACATTTCCCAGCAACATAATCACTCCATCATTTGTACAATAACATTTATAATTGAAGAATGCAGTTTATTGAAAACATATTTAATTACTTATAAATGTGAAACAAACAGAAAATAATAATCCAAGCTCAATTGGTAACACTCCTCTGAGACAGACGCTTCAAACTGGGGTTGGGATTGAGATTTAAGGTTGGGATTTAAACTCACAGGTCAGTCTGACACAGCAATGCAATATTGGGGGATTGCTACAGTCCTTTGGAGGGGACACTAAAACACAGGTCTCATCTGCCTATTCATGTGGATATTAAATTATTACTTGAAAAGAAAATTGAGTTTTACCTGGTCAGAAATGTTTTCACTCAGAGAGTTGTTGGATGCCAGTCTAGAATGTAGAATGCCCTGCCAAGTAAGGTGGTAGATGCACAGCCCATTGTGACCTTCAAAAGGTAAGCTATATAGCACCTTGAAGGACTATAGGGATAAGGCAGGGCAGTAGGACTGAATGAACACCTTTCTCAGAGCCACTGCAAACTAGATGGACTAAATGGCTTCCTTTGCTCTACATTTTTATGGTTCTATGGATACTCTCCAGATTAATTGGTCTATTATCTCATGAGGCCTTGCTGCGCACAAAATGGTTGACTTGCTTGCCTACAAAAAGACAAATATTTCCTCTTTGGGGGTATAAGGGGGACAATTTCTGTCTTTCTATTGGGGAGCACCATCTTAATGAAGTGGGAGAAATGTCTTAATAAATGACTTTATGAGATGAGGCAATTCAAATATGTGAGTAATACCAATGAGTTATGTAGATTCAAGAAAGATAAACTGCACATCTTGCTGGCATGATGCATTACATATCATAATTATATCTATGTAGTCCATATTATTCTTAAAACTACAGCAAAAGTTGAAAGAGAACAATTTCCATTTTCTAATGCCTATGATTTCACCCATAAAATATACAGTCGATTCACTTTACAGTATATTCTGAGAAACGCTTTGAGACATCTCGAAGACGTGATGAGGCGCTATATCAAATGCAAGGATTATTATTATTATATCAAAACACAGTAATTCTTTTCAGACACAGTAACTGTTTTTTATAGGCAACCACAGCAGTCATTTTGTGCACACTGAAAAGACTTGAGTCCTTTTTCAGAGCCTACAAACTGATTTCTCCTGTTGCCTGCTCTCATGCATATTAAGAAACCACACATCACTGCTGCAATTAATACTGTTTTTGCAAATCCGCAGGCCATGGAGACAGATGTTGATATACTTATTATCTTCTCACCAATAGCACTAACAGGAAAACATTTACAAGAAAACTCAAAATGTAATGAACAAAGGATTAAGTATTAATAAAACATTCGGTCTATTTTCCCTTTAATGAGTAGGTGTATTGCATTCTATAAATACGATTTTGCAATGTAATCTGACTGCAATGAGCGGTTCTTTCCTAGCTAATATACATTACCAATAACCTTGTTTCGATCAATATGCTGCATGTCCAGTAATTCACAATGTACCCTGAGCTCAGCATAGTTTCATTAAATAGTATTATTTTGGGAAAAAAATATCTATGCAAGATGAAGATTTCTCATTCTGGAGCCATGTTCAACTTCTTCTGCATGATACACTCTTCAATGTCAAAAATATTAAGCACAGGTATGTAAGAAAACGCAGTTTGGTTTACAACTGGTGCAGACAGTGCTGTTCATCTACTTCAATTGTGATCATCATTATCTTCCAATGGGCAGGGTGATGCAACACTTCCCCCCTGGCTCATGGATGCACAAGTGAGAACGAGCAATGTTTGTGAGAGACGAGCGATGTTAATTTTGTGTAACTTTTTATTTGAAAAACTATTAACAGATATTTTATAGCTGAATCTCAAAAACATCAGATTCTGCCACCCCATTTTGAAATGCAACATCAAGGCTAAATAAACCAGAAAATAACAACAAATTACAGTTCTACAGCACCTTTCATGTCAGGATATCCCAGGGTGCTGGATATTCAGGGATCCGTACCCGAGCTGATGGTTGGTATCAGGAGGGGTGGGGGCAGGGAGGGGTATTAGGGTGACCGAAGGCACGGTCAAAGTGGAGGGTCTAGAAATGGATCTTGAAGGAGGCAAGGCAAGGGGGTGAGGCGGAGGACCTTAGGAGGAGTTTCAGAGGGTGGGGGCACAGAGTCTAACGCCAATGGTGGGCCGGACAAGGCGAGAGACATAAAGTAGGTTGGAGTGCGGGAGAGATCACAGGCTGCAGAGCTCTGGATGATATGCAGGAGTTGGGGAGGCCGGCACGCAAGGAGTTTGTGTATGAACCTGGATACGATGAACGCATGGATGAGAGTCTTGCTGGCCTGCGGTGAGAGAGTGGCAAAACCAGGCTATGTTGCAGAGGTGGGGAAGGAGGAGCGGGTCATGGCACGGATGTGGTGTATGAAGGACAGTTGAGGGTCGAACAGGATGCTGAGGATCCATTTTAGCTCCATAAGGTGTAAATTGCATCCATGAAAATATACCAATAAACTAGAAAATTAGGTGTTTAGCATGTGGGAACAAAGAAAACTACCATGTATTTTTAACACTGCTTCAGAATTCAACGGAGCACAGTAAATGTTAGGGAATTATTCTGAGTCCTTTGTCGGCTATCAATCGTACAGGAACTATGAAACAATTACACTTAGTTTAATCTCCAGTATTGTTACTAGTAATATGTGAACATGTGTTTCAAAAAATATTTGAAATTTGACTGAAGACACTAAAACTATATTATTCTTAACCATTTGTTTACCTTTGAGATGTCTCAAAGTGCTTCACAGAATATACTGTAAAGTGAATTGACTATAAGGTGACTTGCAGCTCTTGTTCCACTAGCATTTTAATATAGTATAATACAGGACAGCCTTGCTACAGCATACCCCGGGTTGAATGTTGGTTCGCTTAAGAATGCGAGTATACTGTGGACAATGCTGCATGTGAGGTAAATGTGACTTCTGGGGCTGTCAAGCTGGTTCCCTGTGCTAGGAGTTGGTCAAATACCAGGTGGTCGGGTTTCCATTGAATGTTATTTCCTGTGTGCTGCATATGTGCAGGAAGCACCACTTACCTCACTTGGCAGGACCCAGGAAACGTCAGCAGCGACCTGACAGCACAAAACTCTTTTCATTAACTTTGTTATAACATAGCCTCTGAGATATTGGGCCCAGATAAACGTGTTATAAAAGCATGATTTTTAACAGGATTCCTTACAAGGAATCTGAAAGAGAACTCACTTCCAGTAGATGTAATTGTATTACAGTAGAAAACCTGATCGACACGTACATTCCGTGAGAGGAGAGTTCCTGGGAATTGATGTGATGTACTTTGGATTCCTTTTTTCAGAAATCCTATTAGAAATCGCTGCAAATTAGATCGCAAAATTGCAGCATATACTAAGCATTATTATTTGCTGATAACCAACTGCTTATTTCTAAAATGTGGACAGGACACTAAAAGACTGCAAAGTCGTGGATAACTGAAGTTATACAAAATGATTTTTTTTAAAAAATCACTTTGATATTGGATCTCGTCTGCCTGTTCAGACAACCTTGAAGGTCTTATAACTATTTCAAAAAAAAGGAGGGAGTTTCTCCTCGACAAAAATCTTCCGGATGAATTGGACTTTCCCTTCACGGCTGTTTGGGGGAACTTTGCTAAAGTGCAAAATGGTTGTGGTATTTGCCGACCCGGACAGTCACTACACTTTACAGCAACCGCCCAAAAACTACCCGAGAAACTCGTTGACCCATTTTGACATCAGCAGTTACACCGCCAATCACCGGAACTCCCGGTGAGTGAGTGAGTGAGTGAGTGAGTGAGGACACCCGTTCACTCCCTCCATCCATCTTTACACCACAGCTGAAGACCCTCCTCTCCCCCCCACACCGCCCGGTGCTGTGCTGAGACACTGACTGTCCTGTGTGATGGGCACTATATAAACACAAGTCGTTGTATGGGCCGCACCTCAAACACTAATCATTTTTATAAACAATCCTCGCGTTTGACGGACCATTTGGATCACATTGTCGAGACGTCTCCAAACGCTTCACAGAATATACTGTGAAATGAACTGACTGTGTGTGTGTTGCGGGCGCCGCCGCACAGGTTGAGGAGACATTTTATTTGAGGGATGAACGGCCACGAAACTGCGAGGAACACCTTCCTGACTCGGCGTCTCTCTCGCGCCCTCCGTCGGGCCCGCGCTCCCGCCGCCATTCAAACCGCCGCGCGCCTTCCAACCGAAGGCCACATCGTGCGTTTGTAGCCCAAAGTGGGGCTGGAAAATAGCCCAACACTGGACTGCGATTTGCTATATAAAAAAGGGTAACAGGAGTGGGCCCCAATTTAAGGTGTAAGGCTTTCGAAACTGTAAGGAAACGTTTTCAAAAGGGAAACCCCAAAAGCCGTTGTTTTTCCTGCAGGGCTGTGTGAAAGTTTTTTTAAAAAATGTTTAAAAAATGAGGGACCCGCCCAAAGCTGTGCTCTCTTTGGTTTCCACGCGAGCGCAGCGAATAGCACGAAAATGCCGCCCAAGTGGGCGTGAGAGCCGCCCAAACCCGGGAGGTTGGTTCTGGGCCAACCGTCCGGCGGCTGCGCGCGCGGCGTCTCTCCTCCTTCGCCACCGCTATCACTGCGCAAGCGCAGTCCCTCAGCGTCCAGAGGGCGAGTCGGCGGCGGCGGCGGGTCGGAGCGGCTCCCCGACAAACGGCCCTCAGTGAGCACCGAGCAGCAGCTGCCCGGCCACCCCGCCAACTAACTAACTAACCAACCAACCAACCAGTCAGCTAACCAGTCAGCCTCCCTCTCTCCCGCTTCTGCTCCGGGCGACGCACGAGATGGAGGACAAAACGTTCACCAAAGAGTTGGACCAGTGGATCGAGCAGTTGAACGAGTGTAAGCAGCTGAACGAGAACCAAGTGAGGACCCTGTGTGAGAAGGTGAGTGAGTGAGTGGGCCCCAGCCACCCGGCCCCGGGCGGGCCCCAGCCAGCCACCCGGCCCCGGGCGGGCCCCAGCCACCCGGCCCCGGGCGGGCCCCAGCCAGCCACCCGGTCAGCCCCGGGCGGGCCCCAGCCAGCCACCCGGTCAGCCCCGGGCGGGCCCCAGCCAGCCACCCGGCCCGGGGCGGGCCCCAGCCACCCGGTCAGCCCCGGGCGGGCCCCAGCCAGCCACCCGGCCCCGGGCGTGCCTTGTGTTTTAGTTTGACTGGAAACGGTCTTTTATCAGTCAGCGAGTCTCTCCCTCTCTCTCGGTGTGTGTGTATGTAAGAGAGAGGAGGAGGGGGCGGTGTGTGTTGCGCGGTGGTGATGATGGTGGTGGTGGTGCCGCCATCTTTTAGGCCCGGAGCCTGAGCGGCGGCTGCTAAATAGTGCGCCACTGCCACTGCGAGCGCCGCACCGCCTCGGCGCTGCCACATAGTGAGACCACGTTGCTCACGTCTCTCCTCCCCCTCCCGCGGCTTCTGACTGCCCATCTATCTGTGTCTGTCATCGCTCTCTCTCCATCGAGCTCTCTCTCACTACATATCTATATATCTATCGGTTTCTTGATTGGCGACTGATTTTGGGGCATAGATTGTGCCCCGTCACACGTAACCAACCGGTCGATGGTTGTACTGAAGCAGTTTTAGGAGTTACGTCATTCTGTGTTGGGGTGGGGGTGAGGAGGAAGAGAAGTGCTTGCATAACGTGTTTTATTATATATGCAGCCAGTATACAGGCTCCTGACTGTATGTTGACATATCACCAAGCCATTTTCGCCTCCTGGAAGTCCATTTGTGGAAAAAAAGATTGCGAGTTCATGCCGAATCATACAGGTAGAAAGATTAATATCCACATATCCTATAATTGTGGAACCATTGTGCTTTTCAGAAGTCCTTCCTATTTAGACTCGGATTCAAAAATGCAGCGCTGTCAAATTAAGGTTATTATTAGAAAATTATATACTTTTCCAGAAATGGTCTGTGACAAGAGTATCTTAGCTATATTGTCTATACATATTTGCTACATCTATGTATTGATGAGATGTAAAAAAGGGGTATATGTGTTTTATTTAAGTGTTAAAAACATTTTCAAATTAATTTCCCATTAAACACATTGGGACTTTAAAATAGACTAGATGATCTAGAAGCCTTGCACTCTATAATTTGTGTTTATTTTAGGTGCAGTCATTATTTTTACGCATTAACTTGTCATTGACTTGACCCTCTTTTCCATTACACTTATTGCTGGCATTTAAGTTTGTATTTGTTTTTAGCTGCCCAGTGAAGGGAGTTTCTTGTGATGACCTGGCCAACACTCGCCCAAATTAAATTGATCATTCATTTCATGGCTATTTGTGGGACATTGCTGTGTGCAATTTGTCCGGCATGCTTTTCTACCAGATACTTTGTGTCCCAGGGTCATTTTATTTGGGGGATTGTTGGTCAGGACCCACTGAGAGAAACTTCCTGTTCTTTTTGATAGAATGGTCTTTAACTTTCACACAAAAGATAGATGGGATATTAGCATCTCAGCTGAAAGTCTTCACCTCCACCAGTACTGCATTGGAGTGTCAGCCTAGAGACTGAGTTGAAAGTCCAACGACCTTCTGTCTGAGAGCCAAGTGTTGACCCCTATTCCTCCATTCCCAGTTAAAAATGCATTAATCAATTCAGAGGATGACAATTGATTTTTGATACAAACTCAGTGTCAGATAATAGTTCTTTTTCCTTTGAATTATACTATTATTAGCATAACGGAATAGTGAGTCTTTGTTGCATTGCTAGAATAGTTGGAAACAGCTTTTTGTATTGTTCCAGGGAACTATTAAGTTAGAGGTTAAGGGGTTTTGTGCTCTAGGGGGGTGATGGCTCTTGCGAAGGGTTGTGAACAACAGAATAATATTTTTAGAGAATAAACCGCATGGGAGAAATAACCTTTTCAAGTGTACGATAGTTTCATGGTAACCTGGTAACTGGAAAGCATTGAGATCAATGAGGAAGTAGAAGAAATTTGTGAGATGACTGGTTCAAGAAGCAGATGTATGTAAAGTGCGGACCATATATGATGTCCCATTACAATGGTCTCCGTAAGGAAGCAAAGTATATGTGTGAATGGTATTTATTTATTTGGTCAGCTTGGTTGTTCTGATGAGTGCCAAACCTATCAACAACAACAAAATTACATTTGTATGTCACTTTTTACGTTGGGAGGACGTCACAAGGTGCTGGACAGTCAGAGTTTCAAACCCGAGCTGGGGGTTGGGATAGGGGAGGGTGGAGAGCAGCGGTTGAAGCAGGGTGATTGAAAGCATGGTCGAAGAGCAGGGTCTTGAGATGGGTCTTGAAGGTGGCAAGGGAGGGGGCGAGGCGGAGGGACTGCGGGATGGAGTTCCAGAGGGTGGGGGCAGAGTGGCAGAGTCACTGCCAAGTCACTGGTGGGGGAGCGAGGTTAGGGGCTGTGTGAAGCAGGCCAGAGCGGGCAAAATGGTAGGGGTGGTTTAGGAGGTTGCAGAGATAGGGGGGAGCAAGGATCACCATTTCACCATGTTTAGGATATCCAATCCAGACATTTCCATCTATATATTGGAACTTTCCTTTGTTGGGAATGGAGTGCACCCCTGATATTCCTTAGCCCAATTATTCCTTCGAACATTGCATCCAAGCTCTCACTAGCTCTGCCTTTCCTCATCATCACCTCCGGGCTGTATTATTTAAATGCCCTACTCGCTAGACTCCCGAGTACTTCTTACAAAGCTGCAGGCCATCTAGAACTGTGCAACCCACGACCTCTTCTGCACTAGGCTCCCCAAGCCTATCACCTTCGTCCTAGCTCAGCTCCCAATCTTTCAGAAGTTTGAATTCAATCTTCTTGTCCTCACATAATTTGGCTTCATAGTCTTGTGTATCCTACTGCCTTAGCCACTCCCAATATTCGGCCTTGCCAGCATTTGGTGAGCCTTTGGCCATTCTACCCACATTCTAAAATCTATTCAAAAGTCCCTCTGTTTTGCCTCCTCCTGCCTTCAAAATCTATCTTTATATCCATTTCTTCGATTTTGTTTTTGGCTACCTTTACCTTCTTAGGTCTCCTTCCTGTCACCTGCAGCATGGTCTCCCAGTCGGTTCTGTGAAGTACTTTGAAAATATCTTCCTGGTGTGAAAGGTAATTTGTTGTATGCTGCAAAGTACTAGGTGTAAATTGGCAAGAGCCATGGCTTGGGAAACCCAGAATGTGCATTGGAGTTTTGACTAGATCTTGTAGCTTACCATTGCAATATTTATCAAATGTCCCAGCTACAACCATCCTACCTGTTAGTGGTTTGGTTTGCAGTGATTGGTATTATGTTCCGTGGTTTTCAAAGAAAGAGGGATTTATGACGAATACTTTGAAAACAGTTAATTAAAATATAAAGTGAACCCTTGAAGGCTCTGATTTTGTATCTCCCCATTTAATCCTGTGCATTGTCTTTATAAAGGCAGTGCATTTATGCCATCTCAAATCACCTAATGAGAATAGTGCTACTATGTTCATTGGCAACATAATGATCATCTTTAATTCCATGTTGGAAGTCTCAACGTATCACAGTATTTATTATAGTGTAGCATTTTCAGTGTTGCTTATTAAGAGGAAGGACATGTGCAATAAAATTCATTGTGTGGGCCTGTACGTTGAGCAGAAAGTTAAACTTGTCATGGCTATTGCTGACTGCATTGGTAGAATTCAGATTACAAACCAGTTTGGCACATTGCATATTTGGTGAATCTAATCCTCTATCGTCTCGCCTGACACTCCAGTGCAGCGCTGGAGATTGCTGTATTGTTGGAGGTACCGTCCTTCGGATGAGAAGTTCAACTGAGGTCCCATCTGCACATTCATGTGGACGTTAAAGAGCCATGGCACTGTTTTGTAAGAGAAAGGAGTTTCTCCCAGTGTCCTGACCAACAATCCCCCAAATAAAACTAATCATTCACTTTGTGGCTGTTTGTGGGGCATCGCTGCGTGGAAATTGGCTATCACATTTGGCTACAAAATACACAGTCACTATAGTTGGTCTGTGAAGCTTTTTGAGACATTCTCCTGAAGTGAATGAAATGTAAGGATACTATCATTATTGTATCAGGTGAACAGGTTAAGATACTACCCCTCCCCCCACTAATCAATCACACTACCTACGTTTGTGGAAGGTCATAGTCTTTGGGGGTCTGGAACATATTTTTGTTTCCCTGCTCCAAGATGTTCATTTTCTGATTTTTAAAAAAAAGCAGAGTAGTCAACTTGTGGTAAATGCATCTGGTAAGGTTGGCCAACTTGAAGAATGTGCCATTGTGTGTGCCTACACAATGTTAGTAATTGAGCACTTGGCTCCATGGTTCATTTAGTTTTGGAACTGTTCCATTGCATTGGAAGCAAAAAGTTGAAACACTTCATTGCCCCTGAGTTTCTACAAACCCTGTAATTTGATCAGTAACTAATAGTTTATATATTGCTATTTAAAGCAGTGTAAACAGCTAAGTAGCAATTTTATCTTTTGTAATTAGAGGACTTGCTGCAAGATGCATTAATATTCTCAGTGATTATGTTTCTGTCTTATCCATTCAGGGCACAACACAACTCTGGTTCTCTCAGTTGTGCCCCCCTCTAGCTGTCTCAAAACCAGAATTATGGACCCCAGGAAGTCTTCAGGGTAGCCTGCATAGGAAGCTATGTCAGTTAAGTGAGCCAAAGTGCAAGAAATTCAGTTGACCTCGGGTTTTCTGAGTGAATGAGTGAACATCTCCATGGTACCAACAGGTTAGGTTGTGTTCTTGGACGGTTTGATAACTGGCGAGCCATACAGTTCAGATCCTAAATAACTTATGTGCTTTTTAGAAACAACCTCTCTGGAGGATACTCCACTGGATGGTTGCCAGATGTTGTCCTCCAAAAATAGCCTGAGGTGACCAGCCAGGAGTATCAAGCACTTTTAAGACGTCCTTCCGATGTGAAAAACACTATATAAATGCAAATTGTATTGTACAGTCCGGGTACATTATCTTATTCTACTTCTCCAGCTATCTGATATGTGCTCATTGTGAAGAGGATACAACGATTAAAATTGCAAAGCCGTAACTGGTGCCTGCTGGGAAAGTAAATAGAAACACACCAATGCTCTGAGCTACGATAGTGGAGTGTGTAAAGATAGTGGAGTGAGTGTGAACTCACTCCTTTGATTCCCCACATGTTAAGTTTCTAACTTTCTGGTCATCTTCCTTGTTAAAGTTAATCAGGATCTTTTTGGAGCTAAACTGGAAACGAGGTGACATGTTTGCAAATAGAATGTCAAAATTAAGTCAACCCTCTGTGATGGACTCAGTAATCCAGTTCTTGAGTCAGGCGGGTCGGCAGTATTCCAGGGCACTGCTAATAGACCAGCCAGCCTGGCTCATTGGTAGGGTATGTAGGGCCAGATAGGTCACTGGAGGCAGGGATTCTTCCCACCAGCTCACATTAACCATGCAAGCCAAAGCCGTAATGGGCAAGGTGGTCCTAGCTGGAGAAGCTTGCCTGCAGCTCTCTGGGACGCTATCCTGTGTGAGGGCTGCCATATAAATGCATGTTGTTGTTGTTTAATAGCAAACAATATTGGTTAAACTCCAGCAGTATATGCCAACACACGCTCTGGGGTCCCCAACTATGATTCTTGCCAGCCTTCACCTTATACTCTGCAACTGGATAAACAGCATGCATCCCTCTGGGGAGATGCCTCTGGAGAATCCCTTTGGCATTCCATTCCAAACAAAGAATTTCAATATGTAGGTGGGATGGTGGAATTCTGTTTGGTTTGGATAATTTTAAGCATGATGATTGGTTTCTATGTGAAGATGCCCAGCTGTTGGGAATGTAAAAGAAAAAAATAAGCCTTTCATAATGGAAATCACCACCTCCTGCATCTTGGGGCCACTACCGTCACACACACAGAGGGAGACATACACAGACAGACAGAGAGACACACACATAAAGAGAGAGAGACAAATGCATACAGAAGAGAGAGTCAGAATAAGAATTGGAGAGCAAAAAAATTTTAAATTGGCTTCTGTGCATTCATTGTATGTTTTTGAATGTTGATTCCATCTGCTTAAGTGGCTCATGTTTGCTCATAATGGAACAGTATTAACAGCAGCAATGAAGGGTGTTGCAAATCCATCTTTGCTAAACAGAGAGTCTATAAAAGGTCTTTTCATTTCATATTTTAAAATAAATGGATTTTCATTCATGTATTGATTGGTATGCTAAACCTTGCAGGAGTGATTTAAAGTAATTGCTGAGTTTTTACATTGTTCGGCTCCAGATGTATAATCTGTAATTAGTATTGCAGTAGATTTATTATATTCAAAATTGTCCTGGACCGATTATAATGATGGGATTATCAAATTGCTATGTCATGGTTTGTAATGAACAGTTAGCATCTTTCACAATTGAACCTGACTGAAATGTTGCTCAAATTCCAGCTAAGTTGAATGTGTAGTATGTGAAATCTTTGCACACCTGCATTGTAGCCTGCAATATATTCAATTTTATTGGTCTTGTTTTTCCGAACTAGTCTGGAAAGAACATTTTGAGTTCAACACTTGGGTGCTGATGGTAGTACTGATGAGAGTGACCTAACTGTGAATTAAAAGCATGTAGAGGAATCATTTTGGCTCAGAGTTAAAGTGTATCGGCTTAAAGTGCAGGTTTCCTACAGCATGATTGTGTTTGTTGTATTGCATGTGACTCAAAATAATGTAATCTGTTGGTAATTGTTGCTGTACTGCTCCTAATGACTCATGTTATTAACAGTTCTTCAAGAGAACTACTATATGTGGTTACTTGCTTCTATAGACCTTCAGAAGTTATTTGTCAGTATACAATAAGAAGTATTACAATATTGGAACTATTTTTAATTAAGAATTAAATGGTAAGGACTACAGAATAGATTTGCTCAGTCACTTCTGGGTCAGGGTCATCACGGTTCATGCCAGTACTTCAGTACTATTGAAGCACTGCATTGTCAAAGGTGTTGTCCTTCAAATGAAATGTTAAACTGAGATCCCATCTGTCTCTTCAATTTGATGTTAAAGATACCACAGAGTATTCAAATAGAAAAGGGAGTTTCTCCCAATATTCTGGCCAATAGTCCTCCAGATAACTAGGTCATTCACCTCATGGCTGTTTGCGGAATCTTTCTGTCTGCTGATTGCTGTTGTGTTTTGCCTAAAAATAGTCGCCTTACTTGACCGCAATCACCTGTGAAGCTCTTTCAAATGTCTGAAAGTTGTAGGGGCTATATCAAATGGAGGGATTATTAATACAACCCAAACATGCAGTGGATATAACCTTTACTTATTTTAGTAATTTTTTCCCCTTTTTTTCCCTACAGGCGAAGGAATTCTTACAAAAGAATCTAATGTTCAAGAAGTTCGATGCCCAGTCACAGTATGTGGGGATGTCCATGGACAGTTTCATGATCTCATGGAGCTGTTCAGAATTGGAGGCAGATCTCCAGACACCAATTATCTATTCATGGGAGATTATGTTGATCGAGGTTACTACTCTGTTGAGACTGTCACGCTACTTGTAGCACTAAAGGTAGGATATATTACTTGCAACTTTTTGATTTTTGATTGAGTCTTATCCTGGAACACATTAACTTCTTTTGTTAAAAAAGCCAGTGGATAACTGCCAATCAAAATGCTGTTCAATTAATATTGTTTCTGTCCGGTTACAACAATGGGAAATGTCCTGATTTTTATTGTACCAAAACTTGGATAATTCTCACTTCTCACCATTTTTGAAAGCTTTGGATCAGAACTAGAGCTGAAAATAAAATTATCGAGAATGTAACCGAAAACAGAATTGGAGACTTGGAAATGCAGATAAATAAATCGACTCTGACCAAGTCCGCTTTGCTCCATCTCCACAACATTGCCTGCCTCTGCACCACATCAGCCCCCAACATTGCTGAAACCCTCATTTACAGCTTAGTCACTTTTACTTGTCAGCAAGCCAACCTCTGCCATTCACAAGCTCCAGATCATCCCTTTCTTTGCAGCCTGCATTCTTTCTCGCACTAGGCTCCACTAGCCCATCACTCCCATCCTTGTCCAGTTCCACTAGCTCCGCATTCCCCTCTGGATCAACTTTTTGGATTCTTGTACTTGCCTTTAAATGTCTTTGCGCCTTGTCCAACCCTTCTCTGCTATCTTCTGCGACCCTCAGTCCTCGCTGCTACCCACTCAGCTAATTTCGTGTTTTCCTGTTCACCACCATCCCCAGTGATATCCTCCCTAATCTACAGATCATTTTGAACTCTGCCTGCCATATTCCTTGCAGTAGACTCGCATGAATACTTGTTCAGCTCCACTGGCTTCCTAACCACCAAAAGATCAGCTTTAAGATCGTCGCCCTTATCTTCAAATGCCTCTGGAATTTGTTCATTCCTGGATCCTCTTCTTCCTTTCTACCTCCCCTCCAAACCCCACTCCCCACCCAATTTTGTCCTTACCTTGTCTCTTCTATATCAACTAGTTTAGTTATCAAATCTCTGGCTTCACTGCCTGGACTCTGCCCGGCACTGGAATGTTTACTGTCATTTGCTGTTTCAATTGGTCCGGGAACTCAACATTACTTTAATTAAAAAAATATCTTGTCAGTCAAATGACTGACGCATAGAGAAACCCATCATGGTGCTTAAGAGTATTCAAACCAGACTGAAATTTCCATGCCATCTTTACATGAAAATTCCCATGTTTGGAAATGAATGTGCACCATCTCCCCAAAAAGATGTGTTCTGGTTACTTAATTCTATAGAGTATTTATTATAATAATAATAATAATAATAATAATCCTTGCATTTGATATAGCGCCTTTCACGTCGGGAGGACGTCCCAAAGAGCTTCACAGAACACAATGTAAAGTGAATTGACTGTATATTTGTGGGCGAACGCGGCAGCCAATTGCGCACAGCAATGTCCCACAAACAATCGTAGATTGAAAATGACCAATTTATTATTGTTTTTTGTTTTGGAGGGATTATTATTAGGCGTGTGGAGTAAGGAAACTTGCCCAAGGTCTCGCTCTGCCTGGAATTGAACTCGGGTCTCTCGCTTGCAAAGCGAGTGCTCTAACCACTGAGCTACAGGACTCCACCGGAGTCACAGTTAGCACAGGTTGACAAGATCCAAGGCTTGTGGACCCCAGAGTATGTGTTGCGGTACTGCTGGAATTTAGCCAGCTAAAACCGCGTAACTTGCCATTGAAAGCACTGTCTGGCAAGCTTTTCTGCTGCTTTTCCAGCTAGGGCTTGTCCAGCTACCTGTTAGGGCTTTGGTTTGCAGAGTTAACGGGAGCTAACTGGGAAGAGTCCCTGTCACTTGTATGTCCATCCAAATCCTGCTGGGGAACCAGGCTGGTTTGGCTGTCATCAGCAGTGGCTTTGAATACTGTGGATTTACCTGGCTCAGAAACCAGACTATAGAGATTGCTTCAGAGGATTGAATCGATTCCCAACATTCTGTTGCCAAGAATGTCACCTTGGAGCCAGTTCAAGAAGACTGCGCTTGCCTCTTTCTCCCCTCCTTCCAGGATAGTCACCAGTTGATTATTTGGCATCTAACGAGCGAAGGTTTGAGCCCTCGCTAAGTGGATGGCAGGTACCAGAAACTCTACGTGAGGTTCCTGGTAAGCAGCTCAGCATGAAATGCATGAGAGCTTTGTCACATTTATTCACATAACTGTAGCAGCCATATCAAACGTAAATGTTTCAACTGGTCTATCTGAGAAGAACTCGTGTCCTAAGGGAGCAGGCCGTTATAAGCTAACTGATATTATTTGTAAATAGATAGGTGAAGGCTAAAAGGGAAAACGTCAAACTGTGATGATGTGGTTTTCATGCAGCATATGGAATCTACTTTTCTTGTATAGTATGTGGATAATAGTGTTTTGATTTACATACTTTAAACAACTTAGAATGTTTTTAGAAATCCAAACTATTTTTAAACTAAGGTCTCAATTAACTCGTGCCATAAATTAGGTTTCTGATGGCTACTATGCTTGTCCATGTCCAGTTGCTAGAACTTACTTTAATATACGACTGTTGTGAATGTTTTATGAAAATTAATGCTTATTTATTTATTAAATGCAGGTCCGATATCGAGAGCGTATCACAATACTGCGAGGAAACCATGAAAGCAGACAGATCACACAAGTTTATGGTTTTTACGATGAATGCCTAAGGAAATATGGAAATGCCAGTGTCTGGAAATACTTCACAGATCTCTTTGATTATCTTCCATTGACAGCCTTAGTGGATGGACAAGTGAGTAGAGGTCTTAAGTATGTTGTAACAATAGTTGGTATGGTAGAAGTGTACGGGTGAAATCAGCCATTGTTTAACTTGAAAACAAGAACTTTAAATGATCTAAACTGAAGTATGGTTTGAAACGATTGCTAGATGTCCGTACTCAAGCAATTCCTAACTCAAGCTCACAGTAGGTTCAAAACCATGCCTTCTGGGCCTGTTAGTCCCTCTGCAGGGACTCCAGTCCTAGCAAGCCTGCAGGGTACACAGACTTCTGCTGTTTTGCTGAAGTCTCCCGATTTTCCTCTCTTTGGCAACAGTCCTTTGAGATCTTGTAATTCTTATTGGGTCTGTCCTCTGTCTTGCTGGGCCCAAATTTGGGGTTTTGCAGCAGGTTATCCAGCAGGGCAACTCATTATACACACTAATCTGTGTAAGCTTGAAGCTGTGTTCTGGCACTCCATGGGACAACATTAGTACTGATGTGCTGTGCTACTGGACCACTATATAACTTGCTTGACTTGGAGCTGTTGTATTTAAGCAAGTCCAGTTCTAACTGTATAGATACAGAAAGCAGCTTAATGACTGAGCAATATAGTAATGTGTTTTTCACATCAGTGACCCCGATCAGTCTTTTCCTTGCAGCCAGAAAATTGGAAGTTTCCCAATTAATTTGGAGCTTTTCTGTATTGCTATTCATTCTGTCTTTTAACAGAAGTTTGATATAAGATATGGGTTGTATTTTGCTGAGATCTCAGGCTTCTTTTTTTAATGGGGTGGGGGTCCTTTTGTATAATGTATATTTTCTAATAGTTCAACATTTCACAGGTGCAGTTGTATATTTAGAGCTGTGGGATCATTTTTGGTATTAGTACATTCGATTTGTAAATATCCTTTTTTGGCATGTGAGTGATGCGTATATGTCCTTGTTCAGGTTTGTATTCAAAATATGCAGTGTTCAGTTTGTGTGATGTGTTTTGCTTTTTGGGGGGTTGGGGGGATAGTGTATATCGTGTTCAATGGGATAAGGTGGTGTATGTGAGTGAGTATTATTTCAGCATGGGTGTGTGTATGCTTTTTACTTACTGGTGACTTGCTGTCCACAGATTTTCTGTCTTCACGGTGGTCTGTCTCCATCCATAGACACATTGGATCATATTCGAGCCTTGGATCGCCTACAAGAAGTTCCACACGAGGTCAGAATTGTTGCACCTTGTAGCACTGATTGTTTTCTTTGGGGAAGGGTAGAAGAGAGGATGATTTCAATACAATGTATACTATTATAATCTGCTATCCATTTTTCAATCAGCTGTGACTCCAGGTCCATTGCTGTCAGCTTGTCTGTCAGACATCAAGGCTTGGATGACCGCAAATTTATAATAATAATCCTTGCATTTGATATAGCGTCTTATCACGTGTTTGAGATGTTTGAAAGCTTTTCCCTAAGACTTACTGAACCAAACCTGTACGTAACCCGGGTGTCGGGTTTGACCTCCAGCTGACCTTCTTCCCCCACATCTGGTCCCTAACCAAGACTACTTTCCTCCATCCACCTTTGTCACATTGCCTGCCTCCAACTGCCCCTTTACGCACTGCACCTCTCTGACTTGCTTTTTCCCCACTCCATTGCCTGCTGCCTCCACTTATGCCTTCCGCTCCACTATCAGTGGCCTTGTCTTCAGCCACTACATCCCCGAAGCTTTGAAACTCTCTCCTTCAATCCCTCCGTCTTGCCCCCGCCTTCCCCTCTTTCACTTCACGGCTGAAAACTTCCTCTTCGACCGTGCTTACACAGTCACCTCTCTACCCCCGATTCAGTATTGTGCTGCATTACTGTTAAGTGCTCAGGCGCATCCCGCGTGATTTCAGATTTATTTCAGGAAAGTTAAATGATTACAGAACAATTTAGTTTGCAGTACTTGTAACTTCCAAAACAAAAGTAATAAGTCATGCTTTGATGTCTTTAAGTAATTTATTAGATTTTGTTTCTTGAAAGAGTTTGATTCCTATTGAAACATGGTTCCACTAGTGCAGGTAGATATTTAATACGTCAACCAACCCAAGCGCCCATCAATCTTGTTTGAACCTTGACAGTGGATACATTTACACCATTAGTCTGTGGGGACATCACAATTGAGCCTCCTGCCTCATCTAATATCTGAACATACACACACCATCTAGCAGCGCCTTTATCCAATAGGGAACCGGATTGATCTTCCCCTCCCTAACCCAGAAACACTGTAGCCTTGGCTAGTATCCACTGACTCAGCACAGACCGGAGTTTAATGTTACATCCTTCTAGCTGCATGGCCAAGTACTGCACCAAGGAATACCTTTACCTACAAGATGATCAGGGAAGCTGAGTTTATTGGATTATAGGGTTATATCTGAAGTATACAGTTTTCAAAGTAATATGCAATAGTCAGTACACCAGAAATTTCATTTCTAATCATTCTTGCGTTTTATATAGCACTTTTCATGCTAGGAAGAAGTTTCAAGAACAGACATTCTTATGAAGTGTAGTGACTATTTTGTAAGTAAATGCGGCAGCCAATTTGTACACAACAATTCCACTCCCACAAACAACCAAAAAGTAAATGAATTTTATCTGGAAAATTATTGGCCAGAACACGAGGAGAAATTACTTTCTCTTTTTGAATAGAGCTATGGTATCTTTAACATCAACCCAAACAGGCAAACTATAAACACAGGCAAATTATCAATACAGTAACTGCTTAAAAAGTACTATAGTAATGAGGGTTATAGCAGCAATAACCCTTGTTTTGATATAGCGGCTTATTACGTCTTCGAGACGTCTCAAAACGCTTTACAGAATATACTGTCAAATGAATTCACTGTATATTTTGTGGGTGAAACATGGCAACCAATTGAGCACAGCAGTGTCACACAAACAGTCGTGAATTGAAGTGATCAATTTAATATTAATATTATTTTAAAATTTATTTTTATTTTGTATGGATTATTACCCCCAGAAAAACGATCAGACAATCGACTAGCAACCGGGTTCCTACTTAGTAGGTAAACAGGAGTTTGGAGTAAGGAAACTTGCTTGTGAGAGGCGAGTGTTCTAACCATTAAGCTACAGGACTCCAATAGTTTTATTGATGTGGAGATGAGGCGACTATTTCCAGGAAACCTGTTTTAAAGCATCTGTAATTTCATGATCATTTTAACCCAGGGTTAACAAGGTTAAAATGATCACGTGACTAGAGATGCTTTAAACTGGTTTCCTGGAAACCGTAGCTGTATTGTTTACTTTCATTCAGAAGATTACATTGCAATAAAGATTCACTTCTTTTAGAGAAGAGCCCTTTTGTTCTAAATATGATTTTGGTCAATAATTTTAATTGCTTGTATAGAAAATGAATTAATTATTGGGACCTAAGAAAACGTTTGCTTGCAATGAAACTAAGTTTTTGTGTTTCTGATATTGACTAAGCACTACTACGAATTCCAGTTCCAAATACTAGGATTCTAATGTTTCATTAGCTCTGAATATTGTGTATTCAACTGGTTTGAAAATGAGTTTTTCATATTATGGATTTTAGATACCCACAACAATAATTTACACTTATATAGCAACCTCCATGCAGGGTAATATCTCAGAGGCTTAACAGTGGCGGAGCCTGAATCTGAGCCAGGGTTTTGGATGGGGTGGGGGAGGTGGCTGTAAGCACAGTTGGAGAGGAAAGTTTTCAGGTGAATTTGAAAAAGGGGAGAGAGGGGGCAAGGCGGAGGGATTAAGGGAGAGTATTCCAGAGTTTCAGGGTGTGGTAGCTGAAAGCTCGACCTCCGATGGTGGGACGGAGGGTGCAATTCTTTCTGAGGAAATGTTGATACTGTAATGAAGATTTTAGCTCTGTAAATTTACATGCATCTGTTTTATTCTGTTTATAAATCAGGGTCCAATGTGTGATCTGCTCTGGTCAGACCCGGATGATCGTGGTGGTTGGGGGATTTCTCCTCGAGGTGCAGGATACACTTTTGGTCAAGACATTTCCGAAACCTTTAACCATGCGAATGGCCTCACTCTGGTTTCTCGGGCTCATCAGCTTGTAATGGAGGTATGGCAGATACAACCATCCCATCGTCCTGTGAATACAACTGTGTTACACTTAAAAACTGAAATAGTATTAAAATAAATTCAAGTTCTGCCTTGAAGACTTAAGTATGCTACTCAGTAGGTGGATGTGTGTGTTCAGGTTATGAGCATAATGATGCTCAGCTACTCACTTCATGCTATTCTGCTGCTCACCGAGTGGCTTGTGAGAGGTTCCTGCTCCCTGCTATCCAGCTAGCAAAGACTCCAATCAAACCTGTGCTTATCAGTTGTCTTAACCCACTCATGACTATACTTTTGCGGGGGAGGGAGGGAAATGGGGATTTCTTTGGGCTGAGTTTGTTCCACGATGCTTGGCAATGGCATATCAAGTTGATCTTCTGATGAAATCAGTAGTCCAGTTCCTGAACCACGCATGTCTGCAGTACTCCAAGACACTGTTGATTACAGAACAACCAGTACGATTCATTAGCAAGATGTGCAAAAGAAGACCAGTCTCTAGAGTGTCTAACGGGTAAGTTGTCTCTAGCTGGAGAAGTGGAAACTTGCCAGTCAGTGTTTGCAAAACAAGCTGTGCAGTTTCAGCTGGTGGAACCCCAGTTAACATTCTTGGGTCCCATGCCTTGGCTCTTGCTAATCTGCACCTAATGCTTTCTGGGATTAGGTGAACATGTTCTATCTGTGGGAAGAGTGTATACTTCATTTCAGCGAAACAGAAGTTTTATGCAAATGTGAAGCTCTTGCTAGTTTTGTTTGAGTACTCTTGTGCGTGTGTTGCAATTTCCGCATGTAAAACTATTGACTGATCCCCCAAAAGTATTCTATTTATAGGTGTTTTGCTAAATTGTGGCACAACATCATAACTAGTGAAGCAGGTAGACATGTAATCAAATTGTTCACAAGCAGCAAATTATTCTTGTGTCTGTTGAAAGATGCTTTTTATGAAATGTATAAAACTTCCAAGTTTTTCTTAAAAAGAACACATGCATTTAGTTTGATGGGCCACAGAAAATAAGGGGCAGTACTTTTAAAAAAAGTTCGTCCAGTCATACATCCATTTATATATGTGTGGCTGCTAAGTTTTTTTACACTGTCAAGGAACCAATAGAAACTTCTTAAAAGGCAAAATACTGCAGATGCTGATAATCTGAAATAAAAACAGAAGTCGCTGGGAGGTCATCAACCTGGACCGTTAACTCATTTTCTTCTCTCCATAGATGCTGCCTGACCGGCTGTGTGTTCCCAGCGACTTCTGTTTTTATAATAGAAATGTCTTATCTGTTTTCTTTATTCAGTTCTCAGTCCAGTTAATACATTCTGGCATGGTGTGCAGGCCTGACTCCGTTGGTATCACTTTCATCTCTGTCAGAAGATCCTGGGTTTAAGTCACCTTGGGACTTGGAACTCAACTGGTGTAAGATGACACACCAATGCTAACAAACACTGTAATGATGTTAAACCAGTCCTCTCTGCTAGTCCAGATGGACGTTAACAATCCCATTGCACTATTTGGAAAGAGAAGGGAGTTTCTCCCAGTGTCCTGGCCAACAATCCTCCAGATAAAATTGTTCATCCATTTTACAGCTGTTTGTGGGACATTGTTGTGTGCAAATTAGTTACCAGGTTTGCCCACAAAAAATACACAGTCACTCTACTTTACAGTGTATCCTGTGAAGTGCTTTGAGGTGCCTTCCCAATATGAAAGGCACTGTATTAAATAAAAAGGTTATTATAATATTTATTATTAATACTAGAATTCCATGTCTGGATGTCCTCTGATATATCTTAATTGCTTATGTCCTGGCTATTTGACAATGGGGACATCAAAGCCATGCTTGGTCCTTTTCAAGTGATGGTCGAACTGCTAGCTAAATAGCAGTTGATCATAAACTTCATTGTACCTTTCCCTCTAACTATCTAAGATGTGGCAGACAAGTGTAGCATCCTTGCAGTCACGTCATCTAAGATTAGCCAACTCAACACAGACCAGGGAATCAGGCCTAGGGTCTGTTTGTTTGTATGGCACAGGTACTAACTGGATGAAGTCTGCTACTGCAGTAGCAGACACTGCTATTGATAAGTCCTAAAAAGTAAGGAACATTTTTGTTGTGATTTGAGGTTCCCACGTGAAAAATAATTCTCATCCTGGGGCAGCACTTCGAATTTCTGAAGTCAAATTATGGGTGTTTCTAAAATAGCTGCCAATGATAATAATAATCCTTACATTTGATATAGCGCCTTATGTCGTTGAGACGTCTCAAAGCACTTCGCAAAATATATTGTAAGGTGAATTAACTGTATTTTGTAGGTGAAATTAAAATGCTTTTTCACTTGTGTGAGGTTGTCACATCTTGAATCAGTCTTTTTAGGGTTGGTGAGAATTGAAAGAAAGTTGATATTTTCTTTTTAAGTATGAGATAAAATATTAATCCTTGCATTTGATATGGTGCCTTGTCACGTTGTTGAGATATAAATTTAGAAAACCTTCGTGCAAACTTATCATGGGGTGAAGTTTAAGGGAGTGGTGACCGTGTGAGTCATTTATAACAAGCATTCTGGAGATAATGCTGAGAATTGTGTGAAATTAATACTAGCACCTTTGTACTCTGAATAATTAAACTAGGTTGCACAATGCTAAGCTGTTTGTGTTTTGCCCTAGGGATATAACTGGTGCCATGATAGAAATGTGGTAACAATATTCAGTGCACCAAACTATTGTTACCGCTGTGGTAACCAGGCTGCTATTATGGAGCTGGATGACACGCTGAAGTATTCTTTGTAAGTATAATAATAAGTATAAATACATTTTTTAAAAAAGCTAGATATAAAGATTTCTTATTGCATAATTTCTTTGTTATTTAGACCACTTTTATAATTAATTTGGATAAAACTGCTTTGTGCAATTTTTCTGTGACCTACCCAGTACAAATATGGAAAAGCAAGGTGATGATGACTGTTTGGTTGTGCCGTGTGTTCTTAGAAATTCAGACAAGGCATATTTTGGTTCAGCTGAAGTCACACGAGGAAAGGAAAGATCATTTTTTAAAAAAAATTCAATTTTGTGTTGTTTTTCAAATTTTCTTCCCGCTGGCATATGAATCCCTTTGTGTTCATACACTGTAGCTCTTCCACTACACATTTGGGGCTATCCCATGAGAATAAAGATTGCCCTGATATATTTTCTGCCTCCAAAGTGACTAACTACAAAGTACAACAACAATAATAATGGCAATGCTATTGCAGATGTCTTTTCAGGTGAAATGTATTGGTTTTGAGTGAAAATTTATTTCATAAAGTAATTGAATATGTGTCAGTGTCATCTAAAAGAACTTTCAGAAGCATAGTTTTCAAAAATGCTATCGCATCTCCCAACGACAGTGTGATTCATGCTGTGGGGTGGTTCACAGGCTCTGGTACATCTCTAGGTCCTTGCCCACATGGTCATTCTAACAATTAGCTCAGATCAGGCAATCACTCCCTACAACATGGTTATATAAGATGTCACTGAAAAAGACTATTTTTGAATTGTACAGTTTTTCCACTCGAAAGTTCTAGGGTTTTCAAGTATTCCCTTCTTTTCCTTTTTAAAATATTAAAAAATGTATCATCTCTTATTGCCTGGTTAATCTTTGCTACAATTAATTTCAAGATTGCTTTCCTTGAGATTTTCAACAATTCCAAAGATTTGTTGAGGTGCAAACAGATTTAATTGCAGAAAAATTAGCAACTTGTAAACAAGATATAAATTGCTGCCTACTTAAAGCTGAAAATCCAAATTGCAAGTGGAATCATAGAAATTTACAGCATAGAATACTATTCAGCTAGTTCTCTCAGAGCAAGCAGATGTGTTTGTAGCTTTCATGAAATATCTATGCTACTTGGCATGCGTATGGGCTGATGTGGTCACAACTTTTTAACTGGTTTGTGGCTCCCTTGTTGACTGACAGTAAATATAAAATTCCAGGGTTGCTGACAAAAGCTTTCTTTTTCTACAGCCTTCAGTTTGACCCAGCACCTCGCCGTGGAGAACCTCACGTCACTCGCCGTACTCCAGACTACTTCCTGTAAATTTATTTGTACACTACATCCACGTCAGCAGTTCACCTGCTCTAGAAAAGCAACAATATTTAAATGTTTTTCTAAACTTATTTGGGTTTGTCCAACTTCAAAGCATTAACATGGACCAAAATGTGCCATATACTGAAGGCATCTGTATGCCTAGGAGCTTTGAGCACAATTTGACAGTGGTTATTTGTTTCAGAAACGGTATTGTGCAGTCCCAACAGTCAAAATTTTTTGCCTGCTGTACCGTTTGTAGTTACTTGTCATTTTGTTTTATCCAGACTGTGAAATATCGATGTACAAATGGTATGATTAAAACAGCTACAAATGCAATAGTCATGACATTTTTAGTTGTAGTTTTATCAGGCATGTATTTGGTTTCAGTACATTTTTTGGTTTTGAAAGAGACACAACCTGCTCCATTTTGAATGTATAGTGTGAAGGTTTAAAAGAGGGTGAAATGGCTCTTGGAATGTCTGCTGGAGTGTTGGAGAAAATACCCCCCTTTTTCAATGTTTGAATCACTGTTCTGTGTTACTGTACCTTATTTCTGTATATTTGTCATGAAAGTGCTTGCAGCTTATTTGGTGTATTTCAAAAAATAAAACAACTTCAAATCATCAGTCGTAAATTGTTATGATTCTGTGATTATCTGAGTTTTTTTTAAAAAAATTGAATTGAGCGGCAGAATTTTTAAGCTCAAGCCATTTTGCCCTGCTCTTTTCCCCACACCTTTCAATTTCCTTGTGAATTTATCCTTTTTGAATAGTACCATGGGATCTTTAAGATCTACCTAAGCAGGAAGACGGGACCTCGGATTAATGTCTCATCTGAAGAATAGCACCACCCCCCACAGCGGATTGGGGTGTCACCTTAGATTATGTGAGTTCAAGTCCTGACGTGGCATTTGACCTACAACCTTCTGACCGAATTCCAACTGATGTCAAAGCCAATTACCAGCAGAAGCAGTCTGGAAAGAGTGGAAGTTCAGCCACTTGACGAGAGCACTGTTGGGTGCGTCAATTCCTAAACAGGTCCTATCTGGGTAAACGTTAAAAGATCCAAGGGCATTATTAAAAAGGAGTTTCTCCGAGTGTCCTGACCAACAATCTCCCAAATAGAATTGATCATTCACTTCATGGCTTTCTGTGAGACAGTGCACAAATTGGCTGCCGTGTTCATCCACAAAAGGCATCAGTCATTGCAATTTACAGTAAATCCTGCGAAGCTCTTTAGTGTGTCCTAAAGTGAAACATGCTGTACCAAATACAAGGAATATTATTAAAATAGTTTTTGAATTTTGAATTATTCTCGCATGTAACATCGTGCCTTTCACTGTAATGTGTAGTAACTGCATTTTGTGGGAAAATGCTTTCTTGAATACATTTTTGGTGTTTTCCACGTTAATGGAGTTTTTGCTATTAATTGTTCTTCACCTTCAATCCTTGACTGGGACACTGCTGTGCACAATTGGCTGCCGCATGTCACCCACAAAGTATAATTGATTCACTTTACACTATATTCTGTGAAGTGCTTTGAGATGTCTTGAAGACTTGATATGGTGCTATATCAAATGCAAAATTATTTTTATTATGCATTATAATTGCAGATAATTATACACTGATTCAAAGAGAAAATAAATGTGGATAACAAGGAATAATAATCTTTGTATTTGATATAGTGCTTTTCACGTCTTGTAGACGTCTCAACGTGCTTCACAGAATATACTGTAAGGTGAATTGACTATTTTTTGGCGAAATGCAACAGCCAATTGCACACAACAGTGTCCCAAAAACAGTCGTGGATTGAAGTGACCAATTTTATTATGTTTTTCTTGGATTATTATTAGGAAACTTGCCCAAGGTTTCGCCCTGCCGGGAATCGAACCCAGGTCTCTCACTTGCGAGGTGAGCACTCTAACCACTGAGCTACAGGACTGTACAGGATGTTACAGGCTAAGCATAGCATTTAGGATATAAAGTTCTAAATGAAGTTCCAAATCTTTCTGAACAATTGTAAAAGTTGTTCTGGGAAGTTGGCTACAGATTATTCAAGAACATTTACATTTGCTCTCTTCCTCTGGTTTAGCGAAGGCAATGTCTAAAATCAAATCTACCAACACTTGCTGCTCAGGGTGTCCACGTGCTTCAGCAATTCACAGAGCAATACTGATGACCTATCATTGGACAATGAATTGTATATGGCAAGCATTATCAAAGCTGGATTGATTTCAGTTAACTTGGAAAGGGTAGACTTGTCACTGGGGGCAGGGAGTCATCCCACTCAGCTTCCGTTAACCCTGCAAGCCAAAGCCCTAATGGGTATGGTGGTCCCAGCTGGACAAGCAATGGGAAAACAAACAGCGATATCAATGGTAAGCTATGCATTTTTAGCTGGTTAGTGTCCAGCAGTTACCCCAATGCACACTCTAGTGTCTCCAAGCCTTATCTCTTGCCAACCTGTGCCTAATTCTGGAATTTGGTAAGCAGGATGTGTCCCTCCAGGAATTCCATTCCAACGATCTATCTCTGGGATTTCCATGTGTAGGTGGATGCATGGAAATCTCAGCTTGGTTTGGATACTCACAGGTGATGGGTTTCTGCATGTGTCAGACACCCGGCCGACCAAAAAAAATTAACATAAAGTGATTTCCTGTTACCAGGTATTGTTAGGTGGCATATGTAGAATTCACAAATCCATCATGCGCATTTCTGGTACCCACGCTTTTGTAGTGTTGCGGCGGCATAAAAGACCTATCACCTATTGTGTTTATATATCTACCAGATACTGGGGGATATGCTCGGTCTTGTTCACAAGCAAAAGTATCACAACTTGTTCAAGTATAGCCAAAATGAGTTATGGGCAAGGAAACACAAGCATATAACTAATGTTATGTAACCAAAACACACAAGCTCTAGGAGATACTTGCCTCTTAAACCCCCACTGTGCATATGCAGATCAGAAATCTTTGTTGAATACTGTGCTTGGTTCAAATGAGGGTTAGTGAGGCCTTCTGGGAGACTGGCTATCTGTTTGTACGTAGATGCCAACACATTGGGATGCTAATGTTCTTACATACATATGCAGGCAAATCAGCTGGGGACAATTCGATCTAGAATCAGAATATTACCATAGAGGCTATCTTCCTCATAGGGGTGGTGTCCCAGCTGGACAAGCAGCAGGAAAGCTTACCAGGCAGTGCTCTCAATGGTAAGCTATTTGGTTTTGGCTGGATAAACTCCAGCAGTTATTCCATTGCACACTCAGGGGTCCCCAAGCCTTGGCTCCTGCCAACCTGCGCCAAATGCTTTGGGAATTAGATAAGCAGGATGGGTCCCTCCAGGGAAAGAGTGCATGTTCCATTCCAACAATCTATCTCTTTTTTTCTCCACATGAGCCACTTTGTCTAATCTGAGTCTCCACTTGACTCTGACATCCTTTAATATTCCTAAAACGGAACAACTTGCATTTATATAACACCCTTCACATAGGTGCACTGCAAACTAATAATACTTACATTTGATGCAACAGCTTAAATGTCAGCAGGGACGTCTCAAAAGTGTTTCAAAAGATATACTTTAAAGTCTAATGACTGTATTTTGTGGATAAACAATCCATATATCGACAGACTTACAAAAGAGCCTCTTACTATTCCTCTTACCACTCACCTTTGTGTGATCCAGCTCTACAGATAGAACTGAATCATTTAACAATTTCAATACACCAATTAGTTCTGCTACAGCGCTGTTTACTGTATGTCATATTGGGAAAGGATCTGGGGCAGATAGTTTCCAAGCAACTGCATGGAAGTGTTTGATGCTGAGCTAATTTTAGCTGTAATTAGTGGAATGTTCCAAGCTACTATTAATAAACAGCAAATATTGTGCATCTAACCCAGAGTTCAAATGTTGTGCTAGAGGATAAATAATACAGTGGAGGTGAGAAATGCACCATTAGATACTATAATTATCACTGGTGATGATTATCTATAACTATTGATAAATTAGGGAGTGAATTTCCTTCCCCTGAACGTCAACATAATTCACTTTGCAAGCGAGAGTCCTGAGTTCAATTCCAGGCAGGGCGAAACCTTGGGCAAGTTTCCTTACTCCACATGCTTGATAATAATCCCTCCAAAACCCAAAACAATAATAAAATTGGTCATTTTCAATCTAAGACTGTTTGTGGGACATTGCTGTGCGCAATTGGCTGCCGCGTTCGCCCACAAATACACAGTCAATTCACTTTACAGTGTGTTCTGTGAAGCGCTTTGGGACGTCCTCCCGACATGAAAAGCGCTATATCAAATGCAAGGATTATTATTATTATTCCACCTTACTAAGCCAGTCCAGAACCTTGGCATCTTGTTTGACTCTCAACAATTCTTTCTACCCCACATCCGTGCCATGACCCTACCCTCTGGAACTCCATTCCGCTGTCCCTCTGCCTCGCCCCCTCCCTTGCCTTCTTCAAGACCCATCTCAAGACCCTCCTCTTCAAGCGTGCTTTCGATCACCCTACTTCCCCCCCACCCTCCCTCCCGAATCCCAACCCCCAGCTTGGGTCCGAAACACGGACTGTCCAGCACCTTGGGACGTCCTCCCGATGTGAAAGGCGCTATACAAATGTAATTTTGTTGTTGTTAAATTCTGTGAAGCACATTTATCATGATAAGGTGTGCAGCATATTAAATGTAAGATTATTAATGCAAACGAGTTGGCAGAGGTCTTTTCATGCAGCTTGCTTTTTACATGAGCGCCTGGAATGCATACAGACAATCTTGAAATCACACCAGCACACTGAGACACTAGAGCATTCAGTCAGAGTCATTCATTTCATTTATTCTCTCCTCCACTCTTTTTGAAACCGAATGGAAAATCCCCACATTAATTCTAGCTTTGTTGCCTCTGACTGGCCCCTTTGTAACAAATGTGTTGGGAATTACTGGAAACTGGCTGTAACTGGCTGGCACGATGCATGCTCGGTGTGAAGCTGAGATTTGGAACCATTTGAATTCTTCCAGTGCACATAGTTAGCATGACAATATTGAGGAACAGGGGATACAAAGGCAAAATGTACACATCAGTACTGTCATTTCAATCTTTAGAATAATCCTTGCATTAGATTGAGCGCCTTATCACATTGTTGAGATGTCTCAAAATGCTTTACAGAATATACTGTAAAGTGGATTGGACTATGTATTTTGTGGGTGAAATGCAGCAGCCAATTACGCACAGCAGCGTTCCCCAAACAGTCATGGATTGACTGACCAATTTTTTTGGGGGGAGGGATTATTAACCCCAGAAAGCAATCCGCCAATCGACTAACAATTGGGTTCCTACTTACTGCTAGGTAAACAGGCATGTGGAATAAGGAAACTTGTCTAAGGTTTCGCCCTGCACAGGAATTGAACTGGGTCTTCTTGCTTTCAAGCTCTAACCCCTAAGCTACAGGACTCCATGTTATTATCCTCAACAATAATGGCAGAATGTACACAAAGGGCTAAACAAAAATTCAGCATTCTGCAACAGGATTTGAAAAGGATTTACAAATATCGACTCTTGTAGATAATCCGAGACCTTCAGTCTCTTTGCCCCCATCCTTTGAAACTCCATCCAATAATCCCTTCACCTTGCTCCCTCCCTTGTCTCCTTCAAGGCCCATCTCAAGAACCTCCTCTTTGACCTTGCCTTTGCCCACCCTCCTACCCCTACCTTCCCTACTCTCCACCCCTCCTGATCTCAACCCTCCACTTGGGTCCAAATTCCTGACTGCCCAGCATCTTGGGACGTCCTCCCGACGTGAAAGGTGCTACACAAACATAATTTGTTGTTGTACCACATATGAAACGTAAGCAACCCTTTTGGGAAAGTGGAGTCCTGTAGCTCAGTGGTTAGAGCACTCGCCTTGCAAGCGAGAGACCTGAGTTCAATTCCAGGCAGGTCAGGGCGAAACCTTGGGTAAGTTTCCTTACTCCACACAAAGCCTAATAATAATCCCTCCAAAACCCAAAACAATAATAAATTGGTCATTTTCAATCTACGACTGTTTGTGGGACATTGCTGTGTGCAATTGGCTGCCGCGTTCGCCCACAAATATACAGTCAATTCACTTTACAGTGTGTTCTGTGAAGCACTTTGGGACGTCCTCCTGACGTGAAAAGCGCTATATCAAAATGCAAGGATTATTATTATTATTATTATTATTATTATAATCAATGGATAAAGCATAGATGGCAGTCAGGGACTGAAAGCCCAGAAGCCAGGTTAGGGCTCCACTGAACAACTATTTCAGGTCTTGAGAGGGGATTTAATATCCACACAGCAGCTGATGTAGAAATAACTTTCTGAGTTCAGATAAGCATTGTTCAAGTGCTGTAAATGATTGACCATGTGACTGAACAAAAATTCTGCTGAGTGTCCAGCCTCTTTTTTTAGTTCAGCCGTGCTATTCGATCAACTCTGACTCGCTGGAGACTTACAGCAAAGTTAAAGAAATGGAGAATATTTATGGGTTGCAGGATTATTCCAGTGATGGAAACACTTTTCTGTTCACTTCTGAATCGGTCGGGGAAGGACACCCAGGTAAAGAGCAAACCTTATTTTATTGTGTAACACAAACAGCTTCCGACTTTACGTCGGTTAAAGTGTCAGCAAGTTGCAGGCACAGCTGCATAGCCGTTCTCTGTCGATAGCTGATTACAGCCAGGCCTGAAGTGGGGAAGCCTCAATTGGTCTGTATCTATGAGAGAGATTTTAGGGAGGGAGGGCAAAGAAAGAACAGCATTCAATGAACAGGGGAGAGAGAGAGGAACAGAATTCAGAGACCAGGAAAGAAAGGGGAAAAGCATTCAATGGCAGGAGAGAGAGAGAGGGAGGGAGGGGGGAAAAGCGTTCAATGAACACAGCAACAACAACTTGCATTTATAAAGCACCCACATGATAGAAAGGGCAGCCGGGGTGGGGTGAGGGACAGAGTTCAGTGACTAGGTCAGATTGGAGGGTTCGGGGGGACAGCATTCAGTGACCATGGTTGGGGTAGGGGGCAGGAAGAGAGCATTCAGTTAGTAGAATACAGAAATGGAGGATGGGGGGGGACCAGGTTACAGTGGGGAATAGCAGGAGTGACCAGGAAAGAGAGCGGGAAATGGTGTTCAGTGACCAGGAGATTGAGGGGGGGGGGAAATACATGTACCCCATCCTAACATCCCCCAGACATTTGGCATTTGGGGGAAGAGATAGTGTTTAAGGCACCTTCTATCATCATGGATTTTTTAAACAAGTCTTGAAAGAAATTCAGGTGTGTATGTCTTGAACATTAGAGTCATTAGAGATTAGAGTCTCAGACATACACAAGTCAGAAAAGGTAGATAAAGGTAAGTCTGTTTTAGCTCCATTAAACAAAGGTTTAATTACATCACTGCTTATAGAACTAACTGTTCCCATTCTCATGATACCAGAATGAACAAGGCTGTTCTGCCCTCCCCTCTCTCAGACAGATCGAAACTGACTTACTGATGTAACCAGCTGGTCATGTACGATTAATGCAGAACTGAGATAATCTCCGTTATGAATTTGGCCAGTGTGGATTGAGAGTATCTTGTTGGATATTCCTCTTAGAATAAATTGGCAATTAACAAAAGGACCAACAAGAAGAAGGACACGAAGTACAAAAGGGCAATGGGAGTGGGACAAAGTGGGTGGATTATTGAGAGTTTGGATTGACAAATTAACACACTCTTGATTTGAGTTATATTACACATCTGTTTCAAAAGCAGACTATCTTTTGTGGTTGCAACAATGTTAAAAAAAAAACTTAAAAACTGATCTTATTTTGTGGGGATAGGTGAAGACGTGACAAACAAACAATAATGTGCTTTCTAAATTCACTTAAACTACAAACAATGCTGACTATTCTTATTCCCTGCTGTAAGGTTTAATTGGGTGCTTCTCACCCCTCAGCTGGGATTTCAATCTCTCCCTTTCTCAGGAAGGATTCTACTGTAAACAAAATTGTATTGAACACCATCCCTCAATTACAGACACTGACAATCCAACCTCAAATGCATGGTTCACTTACTATTCAGTAAAAAAGGTGGAGGCCTTGTTAGGTTAGGCCTCAGCTGGAATATTGTGTCCAATTCTGGGCACCACACTTTATGAAGGATGTCAAGGCCTTGGAAAGAGTGCAAAGGAGATTTACCAGAATGATATCAGGGATGAGGAACTTTAACTATGTGGAGAAACAAGAGAAGCTGGGATTGTTCTCCTTAAAGCAGAGAAGGTTGAGGGGAGATTTAATAGAGGTGATCAAAATTATGAAATGTTTTGATAGAGTGAATAGGAGAAAATGTTTTCACTGGTCGGTAACCAGAGGACACAGATTCAAGATAATTGGCAAAAGAACTAGACGGGAGACGAGGAAACATGTTTTTTTATACAGCGAGTTTTTACGGTCTGGAATGCAATGCCTGAAAGGGTGGTGGAAGCAGATTCAATAATAACTTTCAAAAGGGAATTGGATATGTACTTGAAAAGAAAAAAAATTGCAAGTCCATGGAGAAAGAGTGTGGCAAATTGATAGCTCTTTCCAAGACCTGGCACAGGCAAGGTGGGTCGAATGGTCTCCTTCTGTGCTGTAGGATTCTATGATTTTATGATCAAGCTAGTGCCAACATTTACGTAAAGTACTTTACCTAAAGTTCCATATAGAGCGTAAGCAGACGAAATAGATTAGAACCAAACATTCCCCAGAATCAACACTTGAACATATCTAAAGTACAACAGATGACCCTCAATAAAAGGAGAACAGAACCATTCAAAGCATTTCAGAAAAACAAACTGCTACAATCCCCACATAGACAGCAGACAAACGGGATTTGTGACAGCGGCTAACATCTATCTCTGATTTTCCCTTGATGATATTGACTCTTCTCTCGGCTGGAGTTCCATAAGTACAAGTTACTGTCCAATTAGCAGTTGTTTATGTGTGAACCCGGACCCTGAGTGTTTAGCTCTGCCTCCGTTTGATGTCCATAGACATCACCTTTCCAAACAGTTTTTCTTCAGGGAAGGCTTCCATCTTCACATTATTTCCCCTTTCTAATCTATGAATTCACTGGTTTGGGGGAATTCATTCAAATCTACTTTCAGATAGTAAGAGAATATAGAAAAGGAGGGCACAGGTTCAGGGTGGTGAAGGGCAATTTGAAGGTAGACTCCAAGATGTATTTATTTATGCACAGGATAAGTAATGGCTTGAATGAGTTATCAGAAAGAGTAATAGAGGCCAGGACACTATACAATTTAAGAAATGGCTCAATGTTGTAATGGGACAGTTGGGTTGGTATTCTGCAAGGACGAGATGAAATAAACCAAAGTGCCTTTTTTATCTTGTGATGGATATGATATATGTTAGTTTCTTAATCCGTTCCTCGACATGAGGAATGAGTTAAGAAACACTGGAAAACTGTTCCCGATACATAAATTAACAACAACAACATTCTTTAGTCAGGCCTGCATTCAGTTGATAGCCTCTAATCCCACTGTTCATAGCCTCTAATCCCATTGCAGCTGCTCTTCCTGAACAGTCCAATAAAAACACAGGCATCTGATTTTAGTCAATTCATGTTAGAACTCGAATAGTAGAGTTATAAATTTGGGGTAAGGGAGCAGAGGCCAGGATCAGCACATTGGTGACTGAGGAATACTGCCACTGGTGTACGCTGATTGTAATTTGCAATAAAAGAGACTCCACAAGCCTCCGTTTACCTAGTAGTAAGTAGGAACCTGATTGTTGGATGACTGGCAGATCGCTTTTCTGGGGGGTAATAATCCCTTCAAAAAACAAATAAATAAAATAATAATAATTGGATTGTTCAATACACAACTGTTTGTGGGACACTGCTGTGCGCAATTGGCTGCTGTGTTTTGCCCACAAAATATAGTCAATTCACTTTACAGTATATTCTGTGAAGTGCTTTGAAATGTCTCGCAGACATGATAAGGCGCTATATCAAATGCCAGGATTATTATTATTATTACTTTATTGAACTGTCAGCCTGGACTATGAGCCGAATGTTCCAATGTGGGGCTTGAATACACAACTTTCTGACTCAGAGGCTAGAGTGCTATCAACTGAACCAGGCTGACACACACATCTAGCTCTCATTCTCACCCATACTCTCTAATTTTATCAACCCCCCCCCCATACAACAACAACAAGATTACATTTGTATAGCGCCTTTCGTGTTGGGAGGACGTCCCAAGGCACAGCATTTCAGACCCAAACTGGGGTCAGGGAGGGAAAGGGAGGGGAGGGGAAGGGGGTGACCAATGGCATGGTCGAAGAGGAGGGCCTTGAGCTGGGACTTGAAGGAGGCTAAGGAGGGGGTGAGGCGGAGTAATTAGGGGATGGAATTCTGGAGATTGGGGCAGAATGGCTGAAGGCTCTCCCACTAATGGTGGGGCGGGTGGGTCGGGGACATGGAGCAGGCTGGAGCCGGCTGAGCGGAGGGAGTGGGCGGGTTGGTAGGGGGTTAGGAGGTCTCAGAGGTAGGGTCGGGCGAAGCCATGGAGGGCTTTGTAGGTGAGGACCAGGATCTTGAACTGGATCCTCTGAAGGATAGGGAGCCAATGGAGTCGGGCGAGAATGGGGGAGATGGGGTCACGGAGTTTGGTGCGGGAGAGGACACGGGCTGCAGAGTTCTGGATTATCTGCAGCCTGTGGAGGGAGGAGTTGGGAAGGCCGACAAGCAGGCAAGAGACAAGAGTCCATATGGAACTACTTGCTTAAACTGAAAGTTGGAGATAATTATTAAATATAACATTGATTTTTGACCTATGTCTTCAGACAAAATGTGTGACCAAATCAGTGATGCAGTCCTCGATGCCTACCTGAAATTAGACCCAGATGCCAAAGTTGCTTGTGGTAAGTGCCAAGCAGTGCCCTCATTACCTCCGCAAAAGTAAATGCTATCAAACAATGCAAACATAATTCATCATAACAAGTTATTTTTAGATGCTACTCTGAAGGGGGCTATATCAATGCAAATTGTTGTAGTTTTTGCAGAGTGCCATTCACATAAAAGAACATTGAAAAAAGGTGCATGAACTAAGCAGGATAACTGCAACTCTTTCAGGTATTTTATGGTCTAAATGAACAAATGGGAAGAGGGCAGGAAATAGAAGAAATATTATAAAAGGAAAATTCTGCATAATGATTCTGTGGAACATTAGAGCTGTTGGTCTCTCTATTGAAAGATATGTAAATGATGAAAATGTAATTACCCCCTTAAACACATATTTAAATTAACAGTGAAATTTGCAAGTATCCAGAACTCTGGAGAAATGGAACTCCGGCCATTTGATTAGCTTCAAACAGCTTCCTCATCACCCTCCCATATTTGCTATAGCCCCTGCAATGCACAGTTACTATACTTATTAATAAGTATGTAAGCAGTGAAAATGTAATGGTCCCGCCTCACATTTAATGCGATGTTCTGTATGGTAAACATTTGGGATTTCCAGATATTTATGGAGAAGAGGGGGGAAGGAGAAGAAGAGAAAATTAACCTAACTTTTTTTCTAATTTTCTTGCCTGCATTGATGCTGTGAGCCAGCTGGAAGGAAGAAGACAGATATCTCATTTAGATTTTCTCTTTCTTCCAATTGGAGCATCCCTATAGCAGAAACAATGGCAAACAAGATAAAAGCTTCGAATGGCCACCTAATCACTCTCCCATACTTGCTATAGACCCTGCATTGCAATAAAGTACAATGCAATTTACATCTATGCAACACCTTTCACATCAAGAAGATGTACGTGTCAAAGCACTTCACGCAGCTGGCTTGACAGTGGAAGAGAGTGATGGGGGGAATCAATGTGTGTTCATTCATCCCTTGTTGATTTCCACTTCATTAAGTGGAAGTTAGACAAAATGCTTTCTGCACAACAGCTGAAAGTCATAGACTTATTCCCTGCATTTTAACCCATTGATGATGTTCATGCATCTTTAAGGATAACACCCAACTTAATTAGACCTTCACTACAATGAGGAAAATGCATCCACATGTTGTTCACTGTTCCTTCCAAACTAGAATGTGTGGTGAAGACTGGCATGATATTACTGTGTGGGGAGATAACGTCCAAAGCTACAGTGGATCATCAGAAGATAGTCCGGGACACCATTGCCAAGATCGGCTATGATAGCTCCATTAAAGGTGAGCAAGTGGGTCACACCCAGCCCCAGCCCCTCAGCCCTCCACCACTCCTGACCCCAACTCCCAGCTCGGGTCCCAAACCCCTGATTGTCCAGTGCCCTGGGACGTCGTTCTGCCGTGAAGGGCGTTATACAAGTGTAATTTGTTGTGGTTGTAGGATTATCCTTATATTTGCTACAGCATCTTTCATGTTGGGAAGATGTCTCAAATACTTCACAGGATATGTTGTAAAGTGTAATGTCTGTAATTTGTAGACTAATGAGGCAGCCAATTTGTGCACAGCAACATCCCACAAACAGCCATGAAGTGAATAAATCTATCTGTGGGATTTTTGGCTAGGACACCAGGAGAGACTCCTTTCTTTTTTTGGAATAGAGCCGTGGGATCTTTAATCCACCTGAAAAGGACTTTAGTTTAACATCTCATCCGGAAATAGCACCTCACATCCACAAGATTAGCACTCACCCCCCACACAACAACTCATAGACATGAGCTTAGTGTCCATCTCACACAGCCTGTAGCTTATTGGCTCAGACCAATAATAATAATAATAATCCTTGCATTTGATATAGCGCCTCATCATGTCTTCTAGACATCTCAAAGCGCGTCACAGAATGTACTGTAAAGTGAACTGACTGTATATTTTGTGGGCAAAATGCGGGAGCCAATCGTGCACACCAGTGTCCCACAAACAGTCATGGATTGATTGACAAAATTATTTTTATTTATTTTGAAGGGATTATCACCCCCAGAAAAGCGATCTGCCAATCGACTAACAACGGGGTTCCAACTTACTGCTAGGTAAACAAAGGCGTGTGTAGTAAGGAAACTTGTTCATCAAACCCAGGTCCTCTCGCTTGCAAGGCAAGTGATCTAACCACTGAGCTACAAGACTCCATGATGTCTTCTCAGTTGCACTTTTGACCTCCACAATCCCTCCAGCCTTCGTCTCAAACTCACCAAACTCGTGTACAACCTTGCTGTTTGGTTTGATCCTCATCTTTCCTTTCTTCTTTATATTTGGACCCTGACCAAGACTGCCTTTCTTCACCTTAAGCATGTTGTTTACCTATGCCTCGCTCACCAAAGGCCTCCAAAACTCTCATTCACTCCTTTGTTACCTCTCCACCAGACTTAAAACACAGCCTGACATTCAAGGCACATCTCAAAACATACCTGTGACTGATTGCACTCCACACCCCAGCCTTTTCAGCTCCCACTCCTAACTTTGGTGCCCAGCCAGCAATGTCAAGCACTTTGAGACGTCCTCTCAATGAGTCAGGCACTATATAAGTGCAAATTGTAATTTATACAAATGTAATTAGTTACCTCAACAAACATTGGACTAATTTACCATACAGCAGCAACAACGAATTTGCACTTGTATAGCGCCCTTCATGTTGGAAAGTCATACGATTGCGTATCTGGATAACCTCTGGGATCATTTAGCAACATGTAGAGAGCCAGGTTGCTAAATGCCTCTAGTTTCTTTGCCAATCACCAATAGACTCAGAAAAGGTACTCTCAGAGATTTGCTCTTCAGAAATCTTTCTCTCAGAGCTAGCTTCTTCACATATTGAACATTAAATATCTTTCCAAACGTAATAATACTTATATTTGGTATAGCGCCTTTCACATCGGAAAGACAACAATGTTCCACAACCAACTATGAAGTGAATAACCAATTTTAGTGAGGGATTTTGCCTGTCTAGCCCCTTATACATATATTAAAGCTGTTTACAAAAGGTAGAATACAATGAATGTTGTTATATAGATAAATCTGGCAGCTACACTGTGCCAGCAATGTCCACAAACAAATGATTCGGATGAACTTTGGGGAAAAGAGGAAATCCATCTAAGCTCATGTCTATGAGTTGTTGTGTGAGGGGGAGTGCTAATCCTGTGGATGTGAGGTGCTATTTCCGGATGAGATGTTAAACTAAAGTCCTTTTCAGGTGGATATTAAAGATCACACGGCTCTATTCAAAAAAACGAAAGGAGTTTCTCCTGGTGTCCTAGCCCAAAATCCCATGGATAGAATTATTCACTTCATGGCTGTTTGTGGGATGTTGCTGTGCACCTCTAAATCCATATGAATCACAAAGCAGGCCTTCAGCCTCTCTGCCCCCACCTTTTGGAACTCCATCCCATAGTTCCTTCACCTCACTCCCTCCCTTGCCTCCTTCAAGGCACGTCTCAAGACCCTCCTCTTCAACCGCGCCTTTGGCCACCCTCCCTGATCCCTACCTCCAGCTCGGGTCCAAATCCCTGACTGTCCAGCACCTTGGGACGTCCTCCCGACATGAACGGTGCTATACAAATATAATTTTGTATTGTACAATCTAAATTTATATTAATGACAGTCCACAAAAGAATAATCTAGAATTTAATGTTGAGTATTACATAGGCAGCATCCAATCAGTGACAACAATGTTACATAAAAAGTCAAATTACTTGTTTTATGGGTGAATTTTCTACATTTAAACTTAAATCTCGTGTTTGTTGAAGAAACCGAAATAAGTCTACAAAGAACACAATCTCTGTTACGAGCCAAAGATAAGCAGAATAACCAGGTGGCATTTGATCTTGTGCCTTATCACGTCGCTGAAATGGTGCAAAGTGCTTCGCAAAATGTGCAGTGCAGTGCAGTGACTACTCGTAGAAAAAAGTGGCAGCTGGTTTGCTCACAGCAATGTTCTCGACACAGCCATGAAGTGGATTCCCAGAATGTTGGCTGGGACATTGGGAGAAACTCCCTTCTCTTTTTCAATAGTGTCATAAAATGTTTAATATCCAGTTAAACAGGCAGATAGGACCTCGATTTTAATGTCTCATTGGTGCAAAAACATAGAATATGTAATTATTGGTAAAGAAATCACTACCAAGTAAAAAAAATCTATAAGGCACTATATCAAATGTAAGGATTATTATTATGGCAAACTTTTCTACTGTGGGGAGGGGAGTGTGGGGGACAATCGAGTTTCACCGCACTTCAAAAGAGAATAAAGATGCTTCCAAAGGAGAGTGGTTTACCACCTAGTGGCCATTGCTTATAAACATGCTATCATTGCTGCAGCCACAATCTTCCTGAAGTTTCTATTTAATAATCATAATAATGTTTGCATTTGAGACCAGGCTTCTTGTGTTAGGAAGACATCTCAGAGTGCTTCACAGGATTTACTGTGAATTGGGGTGAGTGTATTTGTAGGAGAAGGTGGTAGCTGATTAGTACAATGCAATCTGCCAAAACAGCCATAAAGTGAATGAACAATATTATCTGGGGGATTATTGGCCAGGACACCGGGAGAAACTCCCTTCTCTTTTCAAATAGTGCCATGGGATCTTTAACGTCCACCTGAACAGACAGAGGGGACCCCAGTTTAATGTATCATCCAAAAGACGTCACCTCCGACAGTGTAACACCCTCAGCACTGCACTGGAGTGTCATCAGAGACTCCTTTGTGGGAGTTCCAATGTGCGGTTTGAACCCACTAACTTCTGTGTCAGAAGTGAGAGTGCTACTAACTGAGCCAGCCTGATACCCTATTTGAATGTTGTAAGATAATATGCTGTATTAGATAATAGGTAAAATAATATGCTGTAAAAACAGAGACCACGGACACATACAAAGTCACAGTTCCAGCAAAATAACTTATCTAAGAAACTAACTAAATATCCTGTTCCTGGATAGTCCTAAAATAAAAGTGACACTTAGTCTCCTCTCTTCTACTTTCAAAATAGTCACAGGAGTAATGCAAGGCTGAAAATAGAGACAGTCGGTCACACTCTCCCTCTATGATTTATACTCCGCGCTAGTTCAAGAAATAAATCTTGCCCCAACACTGAAGAATATTTTGAAAACTTTTAAAATGTTTTTTGAAGGACTGTAACTCAAACAAATAGCAAAAGATTGGCAGTCAAATTGAAAAATCATTATTCCTGAAGGAAAGAATAAGTACTTAATAGTATCTGAATTGAGGCCTCAGATATCATTCCTTGTCCTGCCTTCATGAACTCCAGTCCTTACACTAGCTGTCAAACCAAATGGCTAATATGGTAATGTCCCTGACATTGCTGAACCAATCAAAGTAGGAACATATGGTCTGTGCTGAATTAGCTGATCTCAACCTGGACATCAATAAGAGTGTTACAAAAGACCTCAGCATCCCTCGGGCTAGGAAAGCTGGAGGGAGTGGATGAAAAATCAAGGTACCTATTGTCCCTATTGAATAGGTGTGCATTCTCCAATGAATGGATAATACTATGCATTTCTCCCACAAAACGTGCAGTCGCTTCACTTTACAGTTTTTTCTGTGAAGCACTTTGAGACGTCTCAAAGTCATGATAATGGGCTATATCAAATGCAAGGACTACTATTATTATTATCTCTCTTCTCCTCCCTCCGCAACATCATATAGTCTGCTGATATTCATTGCTCAGACTTGCATGGAAATAACAGCTGCTCAGGTACGAGAAGGCAGGGGCCACCTGTGAACTATATGTATGCAATTCACTACCACAAATCACCATTGAAGCCGGATCGACAGAACCATTGAGAAGGGTTCTGGATAAGGACCTGAGCAGCAGAAATGTTAAAGGTGATGGGGAAAGTAGAAAATGATAATAGGTGATAATACAAGAAGCAGTAGCACAGACAATATGGAACAAGTGGTCTTTATCTATGTTTGGGACTTCCTCCCGACATGAAAGGTGCCATATAGGTGCAATCTGCTGTTGTTGTTTTTGTTGAAAGTATCTGAGCTTCTACATCTACATCGGCTTGGTGTCAACTGGTAGCATTCTCACCCCTGAGCAAGAAAGTTGCTGATTTAAGTCCCATTTTGAGTCTTTGAACCCAGTCTAGCCTGACACTCCAGTGCAGTGCTGGGAGGATGACTGCATTGTTGGAGATGTTGTTCTTTGGATGAGATACTGAACCGAGGTCCCATCTAGTCCTATGGCTCAGTGGTTAGAGCACTCACCTTGCAAGTGAGAGACCTGGGTTTGATTCCCGGCAGGGTGAAATGTTGGGTAAGTTTCCTTTTCCCCCCTGCTTGGGTCATGACCCAACTGTGCAGCGCCTTGGGACGTCCTCCTGACGTGAAAGGCGCTTTATAAATGGAATCTTGTTGTTGTTGTTGCTCCACACGCCTGTGTTTACCTAGCAGTAAGTAGGAATCTGGCTGTTTGTCGATTGGCGGATCGTTTTTCCGGGGATAATAATTCCTTCAAAAAAAAAATTGGTCACTCAATCCATGATTGTTTGTAGGACACCGCTGTGCACAATTGGCTGCAGAGTTTCACCCACAAAATGTAGAGTCAATTCATTTTACAGTATATTCTGTGAAGCGCTTTAAGACATGAAGACATGATAAGGTGCTATACCAATTGCAAGGATTATTATTATTATATTTATAAGAACATCTCAAAAACATTGTTCCCTTTTATTCCGCTTACTGATTGCTTTTTTGGTGTGGGTGCATAGGCTTTGATTACAAGACCTGTAATATCCTGGTCGCTCTGGAACAGCAGTCCCCGGACATTGCCCAAAGTGTCTACAAAGACAAGGCTGAGGAGAACATTGGAGCCGGTGACCAGGTAATATTGAAACACAATAATTTTGACTAAGGAAGAAACTGAGACTTTTCTATTGTCTCATTTCAAAACAGGATTATTATGTTCGGTTGTGAATGAATACATTATACTTCTGCACATGAATTTAGAAGCAAGTCACAACCAAGAAAGAATTAGTGTTTGGGATGAGTGAAACTTCTGATGGGTTGCCGATGCTCACCTTTAAAGCCCTCCAAGGCCTTGCCCTCCCTACTTCTGTGACCTCTTAACCGCCCCCCACCAATCTGTCCGCTCCCCCTGCCTTGTCCATCCCACCATTGGTGGGCCGAACCTTCAGCCTCTCTGCCCCCACCCTCTGGAACTCCATCCCACAGTCCCTTCAGCTCACCCACTCCCTTGTCTCATTCAAGACCTGTCTCAAGACCTTCCTCTTCAACCATGCCTTCAGGCACCCTCCTATAATAATAATAATAATAATCCTTGCATTTGATATAGCGCTTTTCACGTCTTCTAAACGTCCCAAAGCACTTCACAGAATATACTGTAAAGTGAATTGACTGTATATTTGTGGGCGAACGCGTCAGCCAATTGCGCACAGCAATGTCCCACAAACAGTTATAGATTGAAAATGACCAATTTATTATTGTTTTTGGTTTTGGAGGGATTATTATTAGGCTATGTGTGGAGTAAGGAAACTTGGCCAAGGTTTCGCCCTGACCTGCCTGGAATTGAACTCAGGTTTCTCGCTTGCAAAGCGAGTGCTCTAACCACTGATCTACAGGACTCCACACTACCCTCTCTGCCCTCCACCCCTCCTGATCCCAACCACCAGCTCGGGTGCGGATCCCTGACTATCCAACGCCTTGAGATGTTCTCCTGACTTGAAAGGCGCTATAGAAATGTAATTTGTTGTTGTTGTTGATGCTATCCACATAAATCTACCCACAAGAAAAGTGACCCTAGTGAGGTTGAAACTACAAAGGGAGTTCACTGATTTTGATAGCTCTTAAAGTGGTGTTTCAGGTAGTCACTGTACATTTAGCACAGTCATTGGAGGCTGGTGGTTTGATCGGAAGGAGCTGGCTGGTTTCCATTCTCGCTAGGAATGTGTGGAATTGGATAAAGCTTTGCATGAGATCGGAGAACGTCGTAAGGCTGAAGGGAAATCCACCCATGTTGCATTCATCAAATTCCGTAAGGTTTTTGACTTAGAGCCAAAATTAAGCCCTCATGATAAAACTGGAAACCTTGGGAATACATGGCCACATCTTAGATTTTATCTGGATCTGTATTCCAGCTCCAACATCCGTATAAGCGTTGACAGTGGACTAACTCACTGACCCTCTTGAAAGGGAGGTAAGGCAATACTGTCCATTGTCACGCACCCCAGGGCTAGATTAGCCAACGGGCCAGGTAAGCCATGGCTTAGGGTCCTGAGTTCTGAGGGCAGCTTCCAATGTCTGAAGGACCACGGGTATGATTGATTCCTTTACTTCCCGATTGCACCTCTCTTCCTGTCGCTCTCCACTAGGAGGCAGCTCGCAGAGTGTTGGGAGAGCAATGGACCTGGAGGTAGGAGTCACAACATGTAGATCAGCAGTTAGAGCAGTCACCTTGCAAGCAAGAGGACCTGGGTTTGATTCCCGGCAGGGCGAAACGTTGGGCAAGTTTCCTTAGAACAAACAGCAACAACAAAATTAAATTTATAGAGCGCCTTTCACGTCGGGAGGACTTCCCAAAGTGCTGAACTTTGGGACGTCCAAAGGTGTCGGAGCCTGAATATGGGGGAGGGGTAGGGTAGGGGTGAGGGAAGGCAGAGATGTGGGAGGGAGACCAAAGGCACGGTCGAAGAGAAGGGTCTTGAGGCCGGCCTTGAAGGAGGCAAGGTAGGAAGCGAGGCGAAGGGACCGTGGGATGGAGTTCCAGTGTGGGGGCAGAGAGGCTGAAAGCCCGGCCACCGATGGTAGAGTGGGTCGGGAGGGAGACATGGAGCAGGCCGGAGCCCGATTAACAGAAGGAGCGGGCAGGTTGGTAGGGAGTCAGCGATCAGGTCAGAGAGGTAGGAGGGGGCAAGGCTATGGATGGTCTTCAAGGTGAGGATGAGGATCTTGAACTCGATCCTCTGGGGGATGGAGAGCCAGTGGAGTTGGACAAGGGTGGGAATAATAGGGTCACGGAGTACATGAGCTGCAGAGTTTTGGATGATCTGCAGCTTGTGAAGGGAAGAGTTAGGAAGATCAATGAGGAGGGAGTTCCCGTAATGAAGCCTTGAGGTGACGAATGCGTGGGTGAGGGTTTCGGCAGCCTGAGGGGTGAGGCAGTGGTGGAGTCTGGCAATATTGCGGAGGTGGTGTTAGGCAGTGCCGGTCATGATGTGGATGTGGGGGAGAAAGGACAGTTCAGTGTCAAACAAGATACCCAGGTTCCTGACTGGCTTAGTGAGGTTGAGTGTGCAGTCATGGAGGCTGATACTGTCAGCGCCTGAGGTGCGGAGGTGCTGGTCTGAGCCAATCAGGAGGGCCTTGGTCTTGCTGATGTTGAGTTGGAGAAAGTTGGCCCTCGTCCAGGACTTGATGTTGGACAGGCAGTCGGTCACATAGCGCCTTATCATGTCTTCGAGACATCTCAAAGGCTTCACAGAATATACTGTAAAGTGAATTGACTGCATATTTTGTGGGCAAAACGCACAGCAGTGTTGCACAAACAGTTGTGGATTGAAGTGACCAATTTTTTTTAAAGGAATTATTACCCTTGGAAAAGTGATCCACCAATAGACTAACAATCGGGTTCCTACGTACTCTTAGGTAGAGGTGTGTGGAGTAAGGCAACTTGCCCAACATTTTGTCTTGCTTGGGAATCGAACCCAAGTCTCTCGCTTGCCAGGTTAGTGCTCTAACCATTGAGCAACAGGACTCCAAACTTGTTCTGCAGGTGTTCTTAACATGACCAATAACAGTCTGTGAAGTTGAACGCTCGTTCTCAAGATGAGGCTCATCAAAAACTCACTCAGACCTACAATGTTCCAGGATAGATTGAATTCATTTGCAATACTGTCTATTGAGCACTATTTGACAAGTACACTAAGTTTTGATCATGTCGTTGAATGAATGCATTTATGAAGTCGCGCAAGTAAGTATTTTAAAATTGTATTGTTGCAAATTTTGTGCGCATAGTTCAAATGGCCCCCACAAAACCCTTAATCTGGGCCTGACCCACTCTATTTGATGTATTCATCAATGACGTATTGGTTGGCATCGAGGGGGACAGACTTGGTGAATCTGTTCCAGGCCTTTCTGACAGAAATGTCAGTTTGCAGGCCATAAACATGGCCAATAGTTAAATTGGTAACCAGTGTAATAGCTTTTTTTTTGGTCACATGCAGAAAACCATCACCGTGCTTAAGGGTATCCAAACCAAGCTGAGAATTCCATGCATCCCACCTACACATGGAAATCCCAGAGATAGATTGTTGGAATGGAATGCGCACTCTCTCCCTGGAGGGATGCATCCTACTTACCTAATTCTGGACAGTATTAGGCAAGAGCCAAGGCTTAGGGACCCCAGAGTGTGCATTGGGGTACTGCTGGAGTCTAATCAGCTAAAATCACATAGGTTGCCATTGATATTGCTGTCCGGCAAACTTTCCCGCTGCTTGTCCAGCTAAGACCACACTATCCGTTAGGACTTTGGCATGCAGAGCTAACAGGAGCTGAGTGGGATGATTCCCTTCCCCCAGTGACTGGTCTGCCCTTCCAGGTCCTGCCAATGAGCCATCTGCAGATCTGCCTGGCTCTGGAACCGGACTACAGAGATCACCACAGAGGGCTGGCTCGATTCAGACATACTAAGTGAACTGAAATCAACCCAACTTCAATAATGCATCATCCAATAATGCAGACATAGGTCAGCAATAGTGCTCTGCGAGGGCTGATTAAGGCCACTGGGGTAACCTTGCACAATTAACAGAGATAGAGAAAGGGCCTTTGTGTTGAAGAGAAATGCTTGTCTTGCTAGGACCACCCTCTCCGTTAAGGTTTTGAATTGCAGAGTTAACAGGAGCTGAGTGCAATAGCTCTTTCGCTATCGATTTGCTAAAGTTTTAGTGGAATTACTTCTTTCTGCCACTGGAGAGCTGTCCTACCTTTCCTGCTCTACCAGGCTATGGAGTTGACAAGATCGAAAACTATGAAAATGAGAATTACATAAAATGTTTGATTGTATTTGCCCCTTCTTTTTTGCCAGTGAAATAAATATGTCGTTTTCATCCTGCACATGAAAAACATTATATTTCAGTAGCACAAAAGAAGACTAAAAGACTAGATGAATTGATATCACGGGTAAAATTATATAGAACTGGGTGACTGAGGTCCAAATTGAAATGGTTTATAATAAATATAATAATCCTTGCATTTGATATAGCGCTTTTCACATTTTCTCGACATCTCAAAGGGCTTCACAGAATAGACTGTAAAGTGAATTGACCTTATATTTGTGGGCGAAACACGGCAGCCAATTTTGCACAGCAGTGTCCCACAAACAGTCGTGGATTGAAAATGACCAATTTATTATTGTTTTATTTTGGAGGGATTATTATTAGGTGTGTGGAGTAAGGAAACTTGCCCAAGGTTTCGCCCTCTGCCTGGAATTGAACCCAGGTGTCTCGCTTGCAAAGCGAGTGCTCTAACCACTGGGCTACACGACTCCACATTGTGCTACAGGACTTTACAAGTCTGTAGTCGTTTTTTTGCATCTCAGCTGTTTTTATTTTGAGGTGGCAACGGGCATTTATTTATTGCGTCTCAGAGGTGACAACCCTAGGAGAGGATTGCTGTTCTTCACAGTTTAAGGGATCATTGTTGTCATCAATAAACATTTGCCAAATATTCATGTGATGAGAATAGTGTCGCACGTCACTTTCCTCCCATTAAAGTCAAAATAGTGACATAGAATCAGAATTATGCAGCACAGAAAGAAGACATTTGGCCCATCGTATCTGTGCTGGCTCTTTGAAAGACTTATCCAAACTAATCCCACTCCCTTACTCTCTCCCCATAGCCCTGCAAACTTGAACTCCCCAAATATCTATCTACTTCGCTCTTGAAAGTTGTTATTGAATCAGCTTCCACCAAACTTTCAGGCAGTGCATTCCAGATCCGAACAACTGGCTGTGTGGATGTTGATAGGTTTGTCATCGTGACATTTTTGTGAACGAATCTCAAAAGAGGAATTTTCCTAATGCTTTTGGCATAATAATGGTGATCCTTTTTACACCATGCAATCTTTCAGAGCATGGTTTTGTAATCCCTGACCCCCACTGGAATGCTTAATTTCAGGGTTTAATGTTTGGATACGCCACAGACGAGACTGAGGAATCCATGCCGTTGACCATTTTGCTCGCTCACAAGCTAAATGCAAAGATAAGGGAACTGGAGAGGAGTGGAATACTACTTTGGGTTATGCCTGATTGTAAAACGCAGGTAAGTACAGTTAAATAAAACAAGGTTCAGGATAAGGCTAGTCAAGATATTTGCGCATAACCCGATATCAAAGTTTACAAACATAGAGAATGAGGTGATGGGCCACCTTCTCCCCAGTGGATCACAGCTTTGAACCTCGTGCTACATGTCAAGAAAGAGCAGAGATATGGAAATAGTAGTCAGCATCCAGGTCAATGTAGACAAAACATTGGCTGGTGATCTGGTGATATCATTGTACCACCACCAGCCCTCCCCAACCCACCACACACACACACACATACGCTAAGCATTTGTGATACCAAGATATCAAACTACATAAATGATAATGTTCATTTATGGGGAGGATTGTCTGGACAAGATTCCCAACAGGTCTCACGGATAGGAAATATAGGAAATGATCATAATAATCTTGCATTTGATACAGCGTCTGACCACATCTCCGAGATGTCTCAAAGCACTTCACAAAATATACTGTAAAGCGTAGTGACTATATTTTGCGGGTAAAACACAGCAGCCAATCGTGCAGAACAATGTCCCACAAACAGCCATGGATTGAGTGACCACATTATTATTAATGTTGGTTTTCGAAGGGATTCTTTTGAATCCTTACAACAATTTACAACAGAATGAGCGGACTGTCATATTGATCAATCAATTATCAACCAAGCTTTCCAGGGCACAGAAAGGTAAACCTTCTTCTGGTATAAAGAAAGAAGCTGCCCCACTCCCCTTCCCCCACCCCCCACATCCAAGGCTACTGTTTACCAGCAATAAGTAGGAACCTGATAGTTAGTCATTTGGGGTAATAATCCCTTCAAAAAAAATTGGGTTACTCAATTCACAACTGTTTGTGGGACACTGATATGCACAATTTGCTGCTGAGTTTTGCCCACAAAACATACAGTCAATTAGCTTTACAGCATGTTCTGTAAAGCGCTTTGAGACATCTCAACAACGTGATAAGGCTTTATATTAAATGCAAGGATTATTATTATTTTTATTGTAACCGTAAAAAGATCCACGCTTGGATTCTAACCCTATAACTGCTCAAACCAAGGCCATTGTGTTACTGATATAATACCAAGAAAACGACCTCCCAGTGAGAATAAACTCTGCAGCAGTTTAAATAGGAAAAGGCTGAGCAGCAGTGACTGTACTGAGGCACTCAGCCAACACCATTAGTAACAGCTCTTCAGACATTAGGCCATGAGACTGGTGTAGCAGCACCTGGAAAGGAGGATATATAGCACAGTGACAGTGAAATGAACGTTACATGTCAAATTTTGCAGGTGACTGTGGAGTACAAGGACAGCAACGGTGCCATGGAACCCCTGCGTGTCCACACTGTGGTCATCTCCGTCCAGCACAAGCCCAGTACCCCACTCGAGCAGATACAGCAAGACCTCAGAGAAAAAGTTATCAAGGAAGTTATTCCTACAAAGTATCTCGACAGCAGGACAGTTTATCACCTGCAGCCCAGTGGGCGATTTGTCCACGGTGGACCACAGGTAACTAAGTAAAAATAGCTTTACAGTGGAACCCTGATCATCCACCAGAAGGCACTGCGTTAAGCTGGATCCTATAGGTGTGTTTCACTACAGTGCACGTGTTGATAGTGGTTCATTGGTTTATCTGCTTCTTCGATTTCAAAATCCTCTCACTCGTGTTCAAATCACTTCTTGGCCTGGCACCTCCCTACCTCTCCAACCTGCTTATCCCCCCTACTCCACCAACCACTGCCTGCGCTCAGCTAGCTCCGGCCTCCTGTTCGTACCTCGTGCCCTCCGCTCCACTATTGGTAGCTGTACCTTCAACCACTGCACGCTGGATCTCTCTCCCTCATTCCCTTTGCCTTGCGCCCTCCCTCCACACCTTCAAATCCCACATAAAGCAACCTTTTTTTGCTACCTTTTTGCTCGTACTTGCGGTCACTTCCGCCAGGCCCGGGGTCAAATTCTGCCACTGTGAAGTGCTCCGGGATGCTATCCCCGCGTGAAAGGCGCCATTTAAATGCAAGTTATTGTTGTTGTCGATTTAGGCTTGGTGATGTAACACTAAGTTAGAATTATAAAGCTATACCTTGACATATAGAAGAAAGTGAACCTGCATATAACCAAATCCAGGGCAAAGTCCTAGAACTCATCCATCACTTTCTTAGTAAATAGGAAAATATTGAGTTCAACATTTAATAGTGTCTTACTCTGGGATATGCATTTATATATGGATTTAAATATATTCAAACGTACTTACTTCCCTTCGCCTCGCTCCCACCCTTGCCTCCTTCAAGGTGCTTCTAAAACCCTCCTCTTTGACTGAGCCTTCGGCCCTCCGCCTCCCTGATCCCAACCCACTGGACTGCCCAGCGCCTTGGGACGTTCCCCTGACGTGAAAGGTGCTATACAAATGTAATTTTGTATTGTATTGGGATGAAAGGACTTAGGAGGTACATTGATTTGCAATAGTCAGTTTTGTGCTCTGCATATCAAAAGCAGCAGAAATTGAGAAAGACAGAACAGTATTGTCATTTAGATGAAAGAGGCAGCAGTGAGCTGAACTAACTTTGAGAACTACAGCCGCATTCTGCACGAAAATAGAACGAACGGTTTAGAAACAATTTTTTAACAATATGCACTAATATGGCCCTTTTCACATAAGGCAACGTCGCAAAGCGCTTTATAGAGATGGAGTATAAAATTGGAAAAACAGCTTTGAGGTTCACCTGGCTAAAGACTTTGCTTTTAAAAAATTATATACTGTCTCACATGCCCACAACATACAGTCAATTCACTTTACAGTATTTTCTGTGAAGCGCTTTGAGACGCCTTGAAGATGTGATAAGATGCTATATCAAATACAAGAATTATTATTATTTATATTATACATAATTCACTTCACAATATTGACCATATTAAACCCATTAAGTGGGAGGGAAGCAAAGGAAGAGAACACCAGCTTGCGTTCAGAGTTGCTAACAGGGATTCTTGCCAGAAACAGCCAATATACTTTGTCCAACTCACAGGATATTGCTCCGAAAACTTGAACTCTATTCTGGTTCTTGTCAATCTCCCGTGAGCAACCGTATAAATCAACAGGATTCCTTCATTGGCAATTCTGAGAAACTAGCAATGACTCATGTTACAAATCATTGCTTTTCAACCTTATGAGGGTTTAGTAGACTTTGCAATGTGGAATGCTTCAATAAGCTGACCCCTGAACCTTCTTAGCTCTGGCATGAGCATTTGCACTGTTTCAGACCTCTCCCCACGGACCTGACCATGTCCCACTAAACTGCAATTTGTCTTGGTATGGGGCTTGGCTGCCACTCCTGACCTGAGCTCCCCATCTCCTGTCCCTCCACTGGCCTCCCATCTGCTCTCCTTTCCTCAGTCACCATGCCCCAGTTTGCGACATTAACCCACCTCTTGCTCACTCCTCTAGCTTCTCTATTGCTCTCCTTGTTTCTCTATTGTACCCTCTCATGGCTTCTCTCTGCTCCAGTCTGCTCCCTCCACCATGCTCACCATGGCACCCGCCAATGGCCTGCTCAGAGAAGCCATCCTGACTTCCCAATTCACTTAATCTTACTGCAAGTGCCACCTGTCTTGCCCCTTGGGAACAAATCTCATCTCGCTCATCCACATCCCTGCCTTTCCCAATCAGTCCTCCCCATCCCCCATGCAAACTGCTCAGTTATCTCTGCTCTACCCATTCACCTCCAAGACACCAGCAAAGTTCCCTCCACATCCACAGTCTCATCCTGGACAAAGACAGACATTGTTAGCCTCATTGAAACCTGCCTCATGCCTGACGACACCTTCCCTCTCAGATGCTGCCCCACCATATTGTTCACTATAGCCCTTGCATCTGCCCAAATCAGTCTACAGGAGTATGGGGAAAAGGCAGGGAAATGGGACTGAAGAGATTACTGTTAAAAGAGCCAGCACAGACACAATAATAATAATAATAATAATAATCCTTGCATTTGATATAGCGCTTTTCACGTCGGGAGGACGTCCCAAAGCGCTTCACAGAACAAACTGTAAAGTGAATTGACTGTATATTTGTGGGCGAACGCGGCAGCCAATTGCGCACAGCAATGTCCCACAAACAGTCGTAGATTGAAAATGACCAATTTTTTAATTATTGTTTTTTTTTTTTTGGAGGGATTATTATTAGGCGTGTGGAGTAAGGAAACTTGCCCAAGGTTTCGCCCTCTGCCTGGAATTGAACTCAGGTCTCTCACTTGCAAAGCGAGTGCTCTAACCACTGAGCTACAGGACTCCACAATGGGCTGAATGGTGTTTCAGGCCTGCAAATTTCTATGGTTCTATCCTCTTATTCCTCTGGTATTTTCTCTTTTGAGCATCTCATGCTCTACCATCCTTCTAATCTCCCTCAACATCTAGATTGTCTCCCAGTTTCCCAAGCTTCCCTGCAGGTTTCTCCCTGACATTTATCTTCCCTCAACTTCTGTTCCGAATGCCTCATCACCTTGGGTCTCACCCAAAGGCTAGTGGAAATCTGGATCCATTCCCATCTTTAAGACGGAGGTGGATAGATATTCGTTAGGTCAGGGTATTAAGGATATGGGGCAAGGGCTTCACCAATGCCAAGATGCCCTTACAGTAACAACTTGCACTTAATATAATGCATTGGCCAAAATAGTAAATGGTTCTCCAGGTAGGGCCAGACAATGCCCTGTATTAGTATGGCTTCCTGTGACGTGTGCTCTAAACTTTAACAATGCACACAGAGATCCCATTTGCTTTCTTTACTGCTGTTGCCCGCTGTGCTAAAGGTTTCAGGCATCTATCTGACAGTGCTCCCAAATCCGAGTTGTTCGCATCTGGAATGCACTGCCTGAAAGGGAGGTGGAAGCAAATTTGATAACAACTTTCAAGAGAGAAGTGGGTAGATATTTGGGGAGGACAAATTTGCAAGGGAGAGAGCGGGAGAGTGGGATAGCTCTTTCAAAGAGGCGGCGTCCATTCTATTCTTCTGTTCTACTCCGCGCTGTCCATGATTACAGAATGGTTTCAATTGAGAAGCTCAAATTTTTGAGAGCTGAACCCTCTGCCATTGCTCGAAGGGTTAAGAACACGATGGGCCGAATGGCCTCCTTCGGTGCTGTGTAATTCTATGTTTCCATGAATCCCTCTTGGATCATATGGGCTACCACTGTCTTTTTTCCTTCCCGACTCTCACCCTCTGCATTTCTGCTTGTCAAATGGCAATTGCCACTAGTTAGTCAGGCCGGCTCCCCAATCTATTCAGAAATACTGGAAATGAAGAACAAATCAGCCCAGTCTAATCCTGTCCTCATCCAGTGTCCATATTCATAGACATCCAGCAGGGGTCACTGCATACCTATCAAAAGCAGAGACCTTCACTAATTTTTCCCTAACTCAGTTCCCAAAGAGTCATACTCACACTAAGCCCCTGTCACTCGCTCTCTCTCTCTCTCTTTCAGATTGTAATTGCTGCCCTCTCCATTTCCAACATTTTCTGGCTTTATTTCAGATTTCCAGGATCAGCTGATTTTTCTTATTCTCTCTAATTCTCCCAACTAACAAATCATTTAGCTTAAAATGATATTATAAAGTGAGGAATTTTCCGCGGGTCCATTCTATTCTTCTGTTATACTCCGCGCTGTCCATGATTACAGAATGGTTTCAATTGAGAAGCTCAAATTCTTGAGAGCTGAACCCTCTGCCATTGCTCAACGGGTTAAGAACCATTTCCTTTCATGTTGATTTATTTTGATTTATTGATTTATTTCACACTCCGCCCTTGTGTGTAATATTACTGTTTTAGTGGAAATACAGCGTTTTTAGGTTAAAAGAATACAAAAAGATAAAATAGAATGAATATCAAAGGAATTGCCTGTTCAAGGCATGAATCAATATGAGCCTTCTGAATTATTTAGAATACTGTAGTTCTGTTTAGCATTACTTTTAACACACAGCATAAGGGAACATTTGAAATCACAGCTCACAAGCTGTGAGGGAATCATTCCAGTCAAATGTTCCATTTTCTTCCTCTCCTTCGCATCTTCCTCTTTTTCTCCCATCCACATCTTCAAATTTGTTTACTCCCCAGTTTCTAAAGAACTGCTGGGAATTTGGCTCCTATCAGCTGGCTCCAGCCTCCTGTTCGTACCCCGTACCCTACGCTCCACCATTGGTGGCAGTGCCGTCAGCCACTACGCCCCGAAACTCCGGAACTCTCTCCCTCAATCCCTCCACCTTGCCCCCTTCCCCCACCTTCAAATCCCGCCTAAAGACCTTCCTTTTTGATCGTGCTTGCCGTCACCTCCCTCCTTTCCCTTCCCTTGGCTCATTGTCACACTCCGCTACTGTCAAGCGCTCCAGTATGCTACTGCACATGAAGGGCTTTATATAAATGCAAGTTGAAACTGTTTCCCAAAACCTTACTGTGCCTTTGTTAAGGTCTTTGGTTTGATCTTTAGTCTTTACTAGAGATCAAACCAGGCTGGTGTAATGATAATGATGCTACAATTGACCTCAAGACTGATGAGTTGGGGAGGAGGGGAAGGGGGAATGTTCTGCTTTATTTTGATGCTAGGCTGTTCTCATTTACCTTCTATTAAACCAAGTTAGACTGAATCCTGTTCCTCAAATGAGAAGGTAGGTTGTCCCCCAGACAACCAATTTCCTCCCCAAATCTGCATCCCAAATCATCAAATGACAATAAGGACCCAATTCCTTACTCACGACCACTTGACCAAGTCAAGTGGCTGGATGGCCTCCCTGGCCTGGGCAAGCCTGGTCTCACCCTGGTGATCAAGGGCTCAGGTTAGAGTCATATTCCAGTTTCTCCACACCTCTTTGAAAGCAGATCAAGACCCTCTGACATCCCAAACCAACAGAGGACCGAAGGCTTAGTATTCCTGGCAGTAGCTCTGCACCACACAGATAAACCATGGGGCAGTTCAGATCGAGGTACATCTATATCCCATATCCTTATATGGTATCTGAACTTCTGTCAGGCATTATCAAGTGCACAGCCCAAGGAGCAACTGTTAACAACAGATGGCCTACACTTAATCTTCCATTTTGATTGTGCTTACAGTCACCTTCCCACTCCCTCCCCCTGGCTTGGGGTCCACCACTATCAAGCACTCTGGGATGCCATCCCGTGTGAAAGACTTATATAAATGTAAATTGTTGTTTTGTAATCTTAGCTAAAAGGGCAACTTATCACACTCCAGTGTTCACAGGTACAAACTGCTGATAAGGTTGAGCTGAACTGGAATATCTGTGTCTTCCTTCCCATGACCCCTCCAGCTGTAAATAGTCGGTTGGCACTCACTATCCTCTATCCTAAGCATACACATGAAGAATTGTCACTTGGCCAGCAGACCTGCCAATGAATATAGAACTGGAGCAAAGCAAGAGTTTCTGATCCTCGGGCGAGGAGGAGGAGAGAAGAGTAAGGAAAGTCTAACTCTTGCCTCTTTTCAAGGGTGATGCAGGGCTCACAGGACGGAAGATCATCGTTGACACTTATGGAGGATGGGGTGCTCACGGTGGGGGTGCTTTTTCTGGGAAGGACTTTTCCAAAGTTGATCGCTCTGCTGCCTATGCTGCACGCTGGGTGGCAAAATCCTTGGTAAAGGCTGGGCTGTGCAGGAGAGTTTTAATTCAGGTAAGCCTGTTTGTGCTTATAACAAACAAGAAGTTGCAAGATTATTATAATGATCCCTGCATTTGATATAGTGCTTTATCATGCTGTCGAGACATCTCAGAGTGCTTTACATCATCGACTGTTAAGTGTAGTGAATGGAGGCGAATGTGCATCCGATTTGCACACAGCCATGTTCCACAAACAGCTATGAAGTCAATGACCAATTTTATTTGGGGTCTTGATGGCCAAGACATCAGGAGAAACTCCCTTTTGTTTTCAAATAGTGCTATGGGATCTTTAATGTCTACTTGAACAGGCAGATGGGGCATCAGTTTAACATGTCATCTGAAGGTCAGCAGCTCCATCTATGCAGAACTCCCCCAGCATGTCAGCCGTGACTGAGTTCAATATTCACAACGTGGCCAATTCACTCAGAGCCAACAGTACTACCAACTGAGCCATTGTGAGATGTTTCGATGCAATGAGGTGCTTTAAAACAACAAATTACACTTGTATAGCATCCTTTATACTGGAAAGACGTCCCAGGGTGCTGGACAGTCAGGAGTTTTGGACCCGAGCTGGGAGGGGTGCAGGACAGGGGGGATGGGGGTGGGAGGGTGGCTGAAGGTACAGTTGAAGAGGAAGGTCTTTAGACAGGACTTGAAGGAGGCAAGAGAGGGGATAAGGTGGAGGGATTGCGGGATAGAGTTCCAGAGTGTGAGGGCTGAGAAGCTGAACGGTAGGATGCAAGCTATAAGAATGCAAATTCTCTCTTTTACCATATCCAGAAAGAAACAAAACATAATGCAAGTAGACCTCAGTTAAAAAAAATCACTGTTTTATTCTTCTATTAGTTATCGTATGCAATTGGCATCAGCTACCCGCTGTCGATCTCGATCTTCCATTACGGGACCTCAACCAAATCAGAATACGAGTTGCTGGAGATTGTGAACACCAACTTTGATCTGCGCCCCGGAGTCATTGTCAGGTTTGTCTCATTCACTACTTGGCGCGACTGATTAAACATTCCGTCATAACTGTAGTCAGCAGCACAGTCTAATGGTCCAGGTTCAGAGCAGAAGCTGACTAACAACGAGGTGATCACTGGTTAATGTCCCAGAGCCCCAGAGCTGTTTGTCATTTGACCAATTGTGCATCACATGCAAATCCAAGCCAATAATGGCATATCTTCCAACAGACCCTTTGCCTGACTGTCAGCCCCCGAACCTTCAGTCACCATGCCTCTACCCTTTGGATCACTCTCCCTAAATCCTGCCGCCTCACCTTCTGCCTTTGAAAACCTCCTGAAAATCCACTACTTCAACTGTACCTGCATTCAACTACCCCAACTTCCCTGCTCAGTGTCTGGCAGTCACTGTAAAGGACTGTATAAAAACAAGTTCCTTTACTATCTGGGAATGAAGAAATAATAAGCAGATAATTAACTTTAATCATTAGTTAGAAACGTGGTGTGCACAAGAGGAAATTGAGTTTATAGATAACTGATGGCGCACAGCAGTACCCCACAAATAGTCGTGCATTGAATGACCAATTGACTATCGACTAACAACCAGGTTCCTACTTACTGCTAGGTAAACAGAGGTGTGTGGAGTAAGGAAACTTGCCCAACATTTCACCCTGTCCGGGAATCAAAGCTATGTCTCTCGCTTGTGAGGTGAGTGCTCTGATCACTGAGCTACAGGACTACAGAATAAGCCAATTGAGTGGGGATCCTATACATATGAAAAGGGGCCCCACTTCTCCTAGTACTTTCCCCATTTGTGCTCTGTGCAAATTGGCCAACGTGTTCACCCATGGAATACTCAGTCACTGCACTGTATTTGAGATGTTCTCCTTATATGGAAGACGCAGTATGAAATTCAAGGATTATTATATTCTCTTTTAAATGGAAAATGATTGTCCAATAAACTTCAAGCAATGTCTTTGACATCTCTGCTCTTATTCACATCAGGGAGTTGGACCTGAAGAAGCCCATCTATCAAAAGACAGCTTGTTATGGACATTTCGGCAGAGAGGAATTCTCTTGGGAAAAACCAAAGAACTTGGTTTTTTAACGGTACCTGCCGCACATATGTGCACAAAACGTACCGGTTGATAGGTTTGCAAGGCAGTACGTGAAAAACCCAACCTTCCTCGAATTGGTGGTGAAATCTGGTTTAGAGTTGCACTCAGGTTTACTGGCCTGCAGGTTCGAGTTGTCACACCAATAATTTGAATTTTATTTGAAAACTACAAACCAGTGCAAAAATCACAGACTTTTACATCCCAGTGGCACCATTATAGCAACATTCTACAGTGAATTTTACAGCATCGTTGCCTGAGTGTTTGAGATTTGTTGTAAAACACTTCCACAAAGACTGCATTCAGACAGTTTTATTACCTTAAATAGTTGTGCCATGACCAACACATTAAATAACAAGGTCAAATTCACAATAGTTTTGAAGCATTTTATTTAAGGAACCTTTTGATAACTTCCAATAGTTGGTGCAATTCTTTCCAGGCTAAGTGGTTTGCTCCTCTTCCAGGTTCCAGCACCACTATTGTTTTTGACCCCGAAGCAAGTTTTTTTGTTAGTCCTTTCACAGCATTGCTATTTTAAGAGTGGAAATCCATGCTCAGTCCCCCAAAAATGACCATTGTAGGGCCACATCCACAGCAGCCGAAACCCTTGTCCACACCTTTGTCACTTACCGGCTTGACTTTTCAAATGCCCTCCCCAGCTCCACCATACACAAAATACAATTAATTCAGAATTCCACCGCCTAGATACTCACCCGCACAAAACTCTGTACCCCCATCACACAGCCGTTGTTATGCTCCACTGGTTCCCAATTACTGAACAGATCGATTTCAAGATCCTCTTACTCGTTTTCAAATCCCTTCATGCCCTCGCACCTCCCTACCTCTCCAATTTGCTTACTCCCCACACTCCACCACCTTCTGCTGCCCCTTGGCCGGTTCTGACCTCCTATTCGTTCCTCGGCACCTCCGCTCCACCAACGGTGGCCATACTTTCAGCCACTACGCCCCGAAGCTCTGGAACTGATTAAACATTCCGTCATAACTGTAGTCAGCAGCACAGTCTAATGGTCCAGGTTCAGAGCAGAAGCTGACTAACAACGAGGTGATCACTGGTTAATGTCCCAGAGCCCCAGAGCTGTTTGTCATTTGACCAATTGTGCATCACATGCAAATCCAAGCCAATAATGGCATATCTTCCAACAGACCCTTTGCCTGACTGTCAGCCCCCGAACCTTCAGTCACTATGCCTCTACCCTTTGGATCACTCTCCCTAAATCCTGCCGCCTCACCTTCTGCCTTTGAAAACCTCCTGAAAATCCACGACTTCAACTGTACCTGCATTCAACTACCCCAACTTCCCTGCTCAGTGTCTGGCAGTCACTGTAAAGGACTGTATAAAAACAAGTTCCTTTACTATCTGGGAATGAAGAAATAATAAGCAGATAATTAACTTTGATCATTAGTTAGAAACGTGGTGTGCACAAGAGGAAATTGAGTTTATAGATAACTGATGGCGCACAGCAGTACCCCACAAATAGTCGTGCATTGAATGACCAACAGACTATCGACTAACAACCAGGTTCCTACTTACTGCTAGGTAAACAGAGGTGTGTGGAGTAAGGAAACTTGCCCAACATTTCACCCTGTCCGGGAATCAAAGCCATGTCTCTCGCTTGTGCGGTGAGTGCTCTGATCACTGAGCTACAGGACTACAGAATAAGCCAATTGAGTGGGGATCCTATACATATGAAAAGGGGCCCCACTTCTCCTAGTACTTTCCCCATTTGTGCTCTGTGCAAATTGGCCAACGTGTTCACCCATGGAATACTCAGTCACTGCACTGTATTTGAGATGTTCTCCTTACATTGGAAGGCGCAGTATGAAATTCAAGGATTATTATATTCTCCTTTAAATGGAAAACGATTGTCCAATAAACTCTCTCCCTCAATCCATCCACCTTGTCCGCTCCCTCCCCACTTTCAAATGCCAGCCAGATCTTCCTTTTTGATCGTGCTTACGGTGACCTTCCCCCACCCTCTCCCCCAGCTCGGGGTCAGACTCCGCCACTGTCAAGCGCTCCTGGACGCTACCCCTCGTGAAGGGCATTATATAAATGCAAGTTGTTGTTGTTGTAAACCATTACAAACATCAAATGCACACCTCGGGTTAAACAGTAGTGGCATTAAGACTTGGCCATTGGCAAACCGTTTAATTGGAGAGGACTTTTTGTACCATTTTTTGTTTGTTATCTAAGGCTCTGAAATAAGACTGAGAATATTTCAAATGTTACCACAAATTTTGCTTCAGTTTTGCAGTCCTGAGTAGACCTAACTTTCAGTTACCTAGTATATGTGTACTGCTCACATGTGGGGCGGGGGAGTGCAGGAGTGAATTACAGATGCCCTCATGCCCTGTGTCCGGGAGTTAATGGGGACAGAAAAATATGTCAGTTGAAGATGTTGGGTTCTGAACAATGAACAGAATAAGACTGACTTATTCTACTCAGTCCTCTTTTAATAAAGGACCTGAGAACAGATGAACCGAAGACACTCAGCAAAATGCTTTAAAAATTCTTTACTTGATGAGAAATGTGAAGTTTGTTTGTTCAATTATCACAAATACAACAGACAGGTCAATAGCATAGACACATACCTGTATCAAAATCAGTTGGTAAGTTCACAAACAGCAGGCAAAAGTCTTACATCAATGAAAGGTCTTTTGATTCAGACCTGAAACCTCTTGCTTGGGTTCAGTGATTACAAAGTCAAAGTTGAATCTTTAAGAGTGTACAGCTGAGCTGTGTACTTTACTCGCCAGTTGTTATATGTTGTTATTCTTCTCCTCCCTTTCCAAATGATTTCAACATTCTAGAATTTCTGCAGTTTTACTTCTTCCTGAAATTGCTGAAAGTTGATGAAACGATGGAACAGTACAAGTCTGATGGATTTTAATCCCGAAGACAACACATTTGCTTCACCACTTCATGGCTCTTGTGTGGACAGAACCTGATATGCTCTGTCCTAGGTTGAACAAAGTGTAGTTAAGCCATACATCTATTATAATTGATTTTCCACAGAACATTCTCATGTCCATGAAGCAATTATCTTACATAAAAATAATAATAAAATATAATCTGCAGAATTGTCGCTGCACCTGTAGAATTGTTATTGAAGAACATCCTCAACAAACACCAATGAAAAACACCAATTGTTATATAAAAACATGAATTGTTATAAAACTTGAATTGTTATAGAAAACATCTTTAACACAAAACTAATTAAAACAAGAATTTGTTATGGGAAAACATCTTCAGCTACAAAAATGAAATTAAAGAAAATATTAAAGATTAAAGAAAAAATTGCCTACTTCAAATCGTAATCCAAACAAAATCAAAATGGTGGGAACTTGCATCAAACCATGTCAGGACCTCAGTTTCGGCTGACACTCCATTGCAATGTTCTCAACATAATGTTATTTGGGATCTAAAGCAAATCAATTAATGTGATATACTGAGAAGTTTGTACCATTTGTTCCTTGAATGTATGTGAGTCTACAAAATATAGTTACTACAGTTTGATGTACTACACTTTGATGTCCTGGCACAGGACACATTCAACTGCTAACTTAATCACTGGAGTCTTTATTAAACCTCCCTAACATTATAAATCAAAACAGCATTGCCCTGAACTAGTTGGTGCACAGAAAGTTCACTAATTTCATATGAAGGACGCAACCAAGTAAGGGGAAACTGATTGCAGATTCACACCAAATGTTTTTTCTAGAGGTGAGCTGGACCACAAAATTCACAAGATTGCAAAATGGTTGCAGTAGAATCAGAAAGTTTGTAGCACAGAAATAAACCATTCAGCCATTAAATGTGCTGGTATTGGTTCCTCCATACTCTTAATATTATTTTCCTCAAGTAATTGTCCAATTCCCTTTCAAATGCTATTTTGGACTTTGCTTCAGACAATTTGGATTAAAATGTAAAACATTCATATTGTCAGTAATTAATTAGTGTATAGTCAGTCATTCATAAATTGCATTGGTAATCACTGAAAAATCTGGCTGTTATTTCTATTGCTGTGCAATTTTTTTTATTTTCACACTTTATCAGAATGATAAAGCTATCAAAAATAATTATGTGCTCTAAACATATTTTTTAGAAACAGTAGAATATCAAGATCTTAAATATGCTTTTACCATCATTTTGTACTTCATGCTAAAATATTACATTGTGGAGCTACGTTCGTGAGATATTGTGGATGTGAATTATTACTGGCTAATAAATATTCAAAAGAACATTGGAAGAACTCAAGTCTTCTACAAGACACAGTTTTGCTGGCTTGTGTGTTGAACACTGCAGAGGGAGCGCTCATAAGTACTTTCAGATGTAAATGACTGCCTAAGTCTGGATGAAGCCAGCCTCTCATGTGGCACATTAAAAAATACAGCTCCAACTGTAAACTTTGCAATAGACATAACTCAATTGGTTCCTCATTACAAGAATGCCAGCAATTCAAAATGTTATTTCACATGAGGAAAAAATAATCCTGCTTTGTCTTTTTTAAAAAAACTGCTGGTATATTTTTAAGCAAGACATTTGTGCTGACTAGTAGACATTATTTACATCTCTGTAGAGGAAACAAGAGCAAAACTACCTAAAATGGTGCATGGAACCCAGAAAGCACAAGACAACAAGACCAGACAACCATGCAGGAAGGTTAAAGGGGAAAAGAGTAAAAATAGGTGCATATATTTGAATTTTCTGAGGGTAATAACCAGCTTGGGTCCGAAACACTGACTGTCCAGTGCCTTGGGACATCCTCCCAACACAAGAGGTGCTATACAAATGTTTCTCTTGTTGTAATAATCCCTTAAAAAGAAATTTGGTCACTCAATCCATGACTATTTGTGGGACACTGCTGTGCGGAATTGGCTGCTGCGTTTCGCCCACAAAATATACAGTCAATTCACTTTACAGTATATTCTGTGAAGCGTTTTGAGACGTATCGAAGACGTGATAAAGCGCTATATCAAATGCAAGGATTATTATTATTATTATATCAAATGCAAGGATTATTATTATGATAAATGCTAGAAGCATCCAAAATAAAATGGTGGAACACAGAAAGTAGGAGCATTTATTTTGTTTCTTTTGAATTAAGATGCGCATTAATACCCTAATCCATGCCTAAATTTGAGCTTTGGAGTCTGAACTGTAAATCACTGGCGGTAGAGCAATCTGGGACTTGTCTTGTGCCCTTTTAATGCTGCAGTTCCAGAGAACCACCAGATGGGGGCAGTTTACGTGTTCTGGCTGGAACAATGTTGAATAAAGTGATTAGTAACTCTCTTGTAAATCAAAGCCTTTCTCATTGCAGACCTTTTTCATGGGAGCTAAGATGACAGGTTTAAAAGGTCTTCAAGCAAGGGTAAATAGGAATAGATTACTTTCATTGGTCGGGGCATAATGGCTGAAAGCTCAGCCACCAATGGCGGAATGGAGGGCATGAGGGACATGCAGAAGCCCGTAGCCAGTTGAGCAGAGGCAGCGGGTTGTGGGTTGGAGTGTAAGCAGGTCAGAGAGGTAGGGAGTTGCCAGGGCAAGAAGATTTGGAAATGAGTGTGAGGATCTTGAAATTGATCCGTTCAGCGATAGGGAGCCAGTGACGCCTAGCTAGAACTGGTGTGATGGGGGTACGGAGTTTAAAGTGGGCGAGTATGCGGGTAACAGAGTTTTGGATCAGCTGAATCTTGTGCATGGTGGAGCTGGGGAGACCGGCAAAGAGGGAATTTGAAAAGTCAAGCCGGGAAGTGATGAATGCATGGACGAGTGTTTCAGCTGTATCTGGGGTGAGGTCTGGTCGGAGGTGAGCAACATAATAATAATAATAATAATAATAATAATCCTTGCATTTGATATAGCGCTTTTCATGTCGGGAGGATGTCCCAAAGCACTTCACAGAACACACTGTAAAGTGAATTGACTGTATATTTGTGGACGAACGCGGCAGCCAATTGCGCACAGCAATGTCCCACAAACAGTCGTAGATTGAAAATGACCAATTCGTTATTGTTTTGGGTTTTTGGAGGGATTATTATTAGGCGTGTGGAGTAAGGAACTTGCCCAAGGTTTCACCCTGCCTGGAATTAAACCCAGGTGTCTCGCTTGCAAAGCGTGGTGGAAATGGAGGAAGGCGGTCCTGGTCAGGACATTCCCCTTTAAGGAAAGCGGAAGTTAGAGAATATTTCTTTAATCATAGGTAATTGGAATAGAATTCTGATCCATTGCAGTTGTGACTGAATTCTGGATGTATGCCCTCTCACGAATGCCTCAATACTGCTGATCAACAGTAAACAAATAACCAAGTCCAGGACTGAAGCAGAACTTCAAATTTACAAATAAAATTGTATCCTTGGGGCAAACACACAATGACTGGGACTCTGAGTGGAACGCACCGCTTAGCCAACTGGTGTTGCTGAAGTCAGAAATTGAATGTATTTAGGAATACTGCAAACTTCACCCCTATGAATGTGTGATTGGCTTTGAGTAACCAACACCAACACTTTGAATCGTAAGCAGCAACAGCAGCAACAGACAACAACAACAAAATTACATTTGGAAAGCGCCTTTCACTTCGAGAGGACGTCCCAAGGCCGCTGAACAGTCAGGGATTAGGACCCAAGTATGGGGGCAGGGTTGGGATGAGGGAGGGCAGAAGGGTTTAGGAGAGTGGCTGAAGGCATGGTCAAAAAGAAAGGTTTTGAGTCGTGCCTTGAAAGAGGCAAGAGAGGGAGCAAGGCGAAGGGATTGTGGGATGGAGTTCCAAAGAGTGGGGGCAGAGAGGCTGAAAACCCAGCTGTCGATGGTAGGGCGGGTCGGGCGGGAGACATGGAGCAGGCCGGAGTCTGCTGAGCGGAGGGAGTGGACAGATTGATTGGACGTCAGCAGGTCAGAGAAGTAGGAAGGGGAAGGCCATGGATGGCCTTGAAAGTGAGGACGAGGATTTTGAATTCTATCCTCTGAGGGATGAGGAGCCAGTGGAGCTGGGCAAGGGTGGGAGTGATGGGGTCACGGAGACTGGTGCGGGAGAGGACACGAGCTGCAGAGTTCCGGATGATCTGCAGGTTATGGAGGGAAGAGTTGGGGAGGGCAACAGAGCCCTGAGGAACACCACACTGTGTGGGGCCAGGAAGAAAAAACGTTGGCGGAGACAAATTGGAGGTGGTGTGAAAGATAAGACCTGAACCATTAAAGGATAGAACCTTGAAGGTTGCGGTGAGAGGAGAGGTGGTGGAGGAGGATGGAGTGGTCTACGGTATTGAAGACAGCAGAGAGGTCGAGGAGGATGAGGAGGCAGAGGGATCCCTGGTCACAAATGGACAAAATGTTGTTTGTCACCTTGACCAGAGCAGTTTCTGTGCGCTGAGCTGCACAGAAACCTGATTGGAGGGGCTTGTGAAGGGAATGGTAGGAGTGGAATGAGCGAAGCTAGGAGGCAATGACTCTTTCAAGGAACTTCAAAAGAAAAGGGAGGTTGAAGATGGGTCAGTAGTTAGAAGGCAGGGATGGGTCCAGGTATGTTTTTTTCAGGATGAGGGTGATTATCGCTGTTTTTAAGGGGATGGGAACAGTGCAGATGAAAGGGAGAGATTGATGGTATTGGAGACCTTCAACAACGTCAGTTTACTTGACAAATTAGAAAACAGCGGGGAAAGCAACAGTACCACTGATTAGTTTAATTAAAAACTCTGAAGAAATCTACACAGGAGTGGCACAAAGTCACAGCTGCATTTCTGCACCCACAGCAGTGGGTTTAAGAGCCAAAGGTTGATTGCTCTCTTGCATATTCTCCTCAAACCTGCATTGACTATTTTCCAATTTAAAGCTGAAAGGTTGAATTACCAAGACAGGATGTGGAGTCCTGTGGCTCAGTGGTTAGAGCACTCGCTTTGCAAGCGAGAGACCTGAGTTCAATTCCAGGCAGAGGGCGAAACCTTGGGCAAGTTTCCTTACTCCACACACCTAATAATAATCCCTCCAAAACCCAAAACAATAATAAATTGGTTATTTTCAATCCATGACTGTTTGTGGGACACTGCTGTGCGCAATTGGCTGCCGCGTTCGCCCACAAATATACAGTCAATTCACTTTACAGTGTGTTCTGTGAAGCGCTTTGGGACGTCTAGAAGTCGTGAAAAGCGCTATATCAAATGCAAGGGTTATTATTATTAATAGCCACTCTGCCTTATTGAAATCTAGTGGTAAAATTTGTGGTATTCCTTAAAACTTCTTTAACCTATTCAAGGGACGCTTTAAGAAATATCAGTAAGTGGCGACCCCGCTAGGCAAATGGTTTGCTACTTTCAGCATCCTAGTGCCACCTTTTTGTGTGACTCTGAGCTACGCGATTTTTACTTTGTAAATCTGAAGCCCCACCTAAGCCTTAATTTACGTTTTGCTCATTATTGCTTTCTCATAGTCCCAGGAAAGCAATATTGAGCAAATCATCGGCCGCCTGCTTGTCTCTCATTCCTTCTGTTCCACCATCGGTGGCCGTGCCTTCAGCCACTGTGCCTTCAGCCATACACCCTGAAATTCTGGAGCATTCTCCCTCAATCCATCCATCTTGCCCCCTCCTTCCCAATCTTTAGGTCGTGCCTGAAGACCTTCTTCTTCCACCGTGCTTACGGTCACTTCCCCCCGCCCCGGCTCAGAGTCATGCTTCACCACTGTTAAGCGCTCTGGGGTGCTACTCTGTGTGAGCAATGTGTGTAAATTCAAGTTGTTGTTGCCAAAAATTTACTTTGAGAGATCAGTTTCTTGGGCTTTTGAGCCTAGTCTGCTTTATCAATAAAAGTTCATTTTTTTAATCTAGAAGTGAGGATTCAGGATAGCATAAAAACAGAAAATGCGGTTAAAACATGTCTTTAGGATGGGGAAGACGGGTTTGCAGGCTTATGGGGAGAAAGCTGGTGATTGGGGTTAGTGAAAGTGACTTGCTCTGTCAAACAGCCGGCACAGACTCGATGGGCCGAATGACCTCCTTCTGTGCCGTAACTTCTATGAATCTATGAATATCTGGAGCTTACCTGGAGAGCAGCACAGCCTTGTTTGAATAAGAACTGATTGGTTATAATAACTTGTAAGTGTCTGATAGAAACATCTTGAATCACAAGAAGCAACAGCAGCAGCAAGACCTCCAATAAATCTGACAACAGTCAGAAGCCCATCTGGACAATGGTTTTATTATCACAATAGTAATGCACCTTCCATTTGATATAACCGTGGAATAACC